CAGCCGTACTTAAGCCACACGCCGGTGAGTTAGTAGTTGGGTGGGTGACCACCAGCGAATCCTCACTGTTGTATGTTCTTGCTTTTTATCTTTTTGCTTTTTTGCGGATTGGATCGATTGATTAGCACGGTTGAAGGTGGACCACCACATGTGACTGACTGAATGAAAACGGGAAGCAAAAATGAAAACAGTCTCACAAGTAAACATGCTCGCTGCCCGTGAACCAATCGCAGGACAAAGAGTGTCTGTTGAATGAACAACTACCTACGGAGTAGATACGACTGGGATCCAAGTTGTCCAAGGCCCCCAGCAACTTCCAAGGTTGATTGGTTTTGCCAAACACAGGTCAGCATAGTCCCATAGAAGATTTTTGACAGAAGCATATTGAATTTAAAACCAAAATACGCTATAAATTTGACCTGATCTGATCTTGTTGGGGTTGTAGTCGGGGCTAGCCGCTCCCGAATCGAGCGTTGGTACATTTACTGGTACGATCCATGGATGTCTGTGCATGACGTGGGTAACGTTTATGTCGACCTCAGGATTGATGAGGGACAGGGAGATGTGCCCTTCGACAGCTTCATCCTCTACATTTTAGTTTTACATATTCACCGATTCCATGACGAACAATACTATGACCCTACTGTCAGATATGAAAGAGTCTATTCTCCCTCAAACACGTCCTACACACACAACCAACATTACCGAAAGACTTCCGCCTGAAATCATTTCGACTATTTTCAAATTTCTCTGCATTCCAGACCAAATATGCCTCTCCTTAAGCTGCATGTACTTGTATAACTGCTTTCGCATATCTCTTAGCCGCCGCGATATCAAAATGAACAACCTCCTTCCGAGGCCGCCGGCCCCGGTCCTTTTTTCCGACAGGACATATTCACAAAGAAGGCAACTACTTTGTCGGCTTGGAAATGGGCGATGGGCTTATTGCGGTTACTGTTTAATCCTGCACCCGTGTTCGAAGCGAGACGCTCCTCGTTCTATTTTGCGGCGTCCTCGGTATGACCCACACCCAGACGTGTTTTACTCTCTTGGAAAACGTTGTGATCTTCCGTATATTGGAAATGTGGCCCTCTGCCCGTGTGCCAGTATCACATTTCACGATCGGATATGGTTGCTGAAGAACCTCAAAAAGCCCAGTCACTTTTACGACCGACTATTGACAAGGATATTCAAGTCCAAATTCCTCTCAAACTCTCTACCTGAGACATTATCCTATCGATGTGCCCTGAAACGTAATTCTGAGGTTTTGCCTTATATTACAACGACTTTCTGGATCAACCAAGAAAACAGGCTCCAGGTATGTAGAAAGTCCCGATCCTCGGTCTATCAGTCTAACATTCTTCGTGAAGATGAAGAGTGACTTTTCCTTTCCGACCGTACCCTCGCCGGATTACTGCCCCGAACCCGGGGTGAAGAGAGCCTCGTACTACTATCCGCATGCCGATTCGGAGAAATGGGTCCGTGAAACTTCTCCGAGTGTGCCTCGGAATTTGGAGATCAGGTGAAAGGCTTTCGATCCTGCGGTCGGACTGGCATTTGGGACGATTGGGGCACATTTATGATGATGCAAGGACCGTTGCTATTCGAAGTCTCCATGACGAGTGATTTGGGGAATGCAAAGTGGCATAATCAAAGATGGTGGTGGTATTCTTATTCCGAACGTCTGAAGTAAAGAGCCGCTTTTCAAGCTTGTCTCGAACAATGACATATAAAGGTTGCTCTCTCTGTCCGTTAGAGTCTCTACGCGGTAGACCTTCTCTCCACGTTCGAAATCAGCATGCGGATATCATAGACTGAGGACTACTCAGAAACGGAAGAGATCATGCAAAAGCAACTTGGCTCCATGGTCATGGACGTTGTCTGAGAAGTCGCCGGTGAGATGGGCAAGCAACGTTCGGTAAAGGTCTAGTTCAATGGAGTCGCCGGTGTGAGCTGCGACCATGTCCCGCAGGAGCCCAACTTGCTGATGTCATATAAGCGCGTCGGAGACGGCGTTCACATCAGTAGTCGTGTGGATCGAATGTAGGACACTGCGCATGGCGGGATTCGGTAGGGCGGGAAGGTTTGCGAACCAGGCGAGATAGTAGTTGGAATGATATTGTGAGTGGTGAGGAGAAGGAAGGAAAAAGACAGCAAGATCTACGATCTATGCCAGGTGGAAGGAAGCAACCACATGATGCTTCAACACACCCCATGCATAGATCCATCGATCTTGCAGACAAAAAACTACCCCCCATCTTCAAATATTCAATTTTCAGTGTTCATCAAACTGCCTCAGTCTCCTGTTTCTTCAGACCTAGTCGAGTTATCCAACCAAAGAGCTTGTTCTTTGCTAGGGGCTTTGTCAGACCGTCGGCTAACATGTCTGCTGAGGGCGTCTGTTGTAGCAGAATTTGTCCGTTTTTGATAAGATCTCGCATACTGTGATATCTAATCGCCATATGCTTGATTCTGGAATGGAAGGTAGGGTTGGTCCCCAGCGTGACTGCTCCCGTATTATCCACATTCAAAGTCATGGGCTGCGGTATGTTCTGGTCCAATTCTTGCAATAGTCTTAGCAGCCATACTACTTCTTGTGCAGTCAGCGATGCCGCAACATGTTCTGACTCGGTCGTCGACAGAGCCACGCAAGTTTGCTTCTTGGAACTCCATGATATTGGGTCTCCAGCAAGGTAGAAGATGTATCCTGAAGTCGACAGTACCATTCTTGATAGACAGAACCAGTCCTGGGGTTTTGAGATCCTCGAAGACTTTTTTCTTTGGAAGCATCGTGTAAAAGCCCACTTGATGTCCAAAGAAGGCCATGCAAGGGCCGCAAGGCGTTTCTCTGTTCCCAGCGCTCTATATAGCGCTCTAATTGGAGCTTTGACCTCTCCCGATCGCCTTCGATATTCTGCTTATATCTCTAACACTCAATAAAGAGACAGGTGACGATGCGTCTCTTTATATAAGTCGTAAGAACGATATAGGCTTGGGTTCCGGTCCCTTCCGCTGCCAGGGTTCCCGTTCGACTCCATAGGTCGATTGATTGGCCAGTAGAATGCCAAAATCTGCGACCATACGAGGTTCACCCTGTCTTCTCGGGTCGCTGGGCGGACATTATCGATGTAGAGCTTGATCAGCTCGTTGTCTGCGAATGTTTGCTGGAAGGACGATCAGCCAAAAAGTGCCAAGACTCGGGGCTGTGTATTTAATTGCTATGGGAGAACCAGTATTAAAGCGAAATCAGGAACTCACAATAGCAGCCATTTTGAAAAAACACCAGCGCGGGTGCCCTGAGAAATCGGTGGGTGCCCTTGGTCGCTCCCTTGCGCATCACTTGTGTGTGAGCACAGAGCTTGGTACGAAGCTGGCGTTCGAAGGCGTCTTGGTCCATCGTGGCGGCAGCGGAGACTGAGCGGGCAGTCGATGTCAAGTGTAAAGACGGTATGGTACTGAAGTGACGGAAGTAGAGCAAGAGGCAAGTGTGCGGAAGTGACGGAAGTGAAGTGAAATGAAGTTGAATCGTGGAGTGAGCAAGTGAAGCTGAACGGAAGTGAAGCACCTGGGCAAGAGGCATGGAGGTGTTGGAGATTAGGTCACATGGTTCCTGATCTCTTCCAACCTTGGAAGGTTCCAAGGTTGTTCCTCCCCTTTGCTAAGTTCTCTCTCTCTCTCTCTCTCTCTCTATCACTTGCGAATCTGAATTAGTTCCAAATGGATCTTGATATTTAGAAATAGGGTCACACATATTATTAGACAGTAGGTCTTGACTTTTCGGGTGCCCCAAAAGGTAAATATTGCTGATCGACAGGGGAACCATGTAAATCACGCGGGACTACTTCAATATAGTCAATTGCACATGGAGTTTTAAACTTCATACGATATTCCCTGAATACACAAAAGAGGCTAGTAGTGAGCTAAGCATAATGAACACCTTCCTCAGGCTCCATCACATTCTGAGACGTGAATGTGCAATGCAAAAATGGTGCATCTGGGTCCGCTTCAACGACTCCCCATTGAACAGGCTTATATGCAGCATCCAAGTCATCGCTGGGCGGATGACAAGCCGCACTGACGACAACACTCATCCCAAGCGCGAGAGGCATTTTGGAATCCTGAAACTTTCTGAAGCTTATGACAGCAACACAAAGGAATTTGAAGACGGCGAGCAAAATTCCAACCACAAGTGGGACGGTTGACACGCCGCATGTGACCAATATTTGAGATGGCACGGGATTGGCGTTCATATCATAAGGCAAAACTTGAACATAAAACAAGCCTTCAGAAACGATCCAGTGAATGAGTGTGAAGCCGACCAGAAGCGGAATCGCATATTCATATGGAATGGTCAGGTAGAGCGTTGAATGCTGTTTGCCTCGTGGGAAAGATACTCTGAGAGGGCGACGACAGACAGCAAACATGTTATAGTCTGCTGCAATGAGACACCTTGTGAGGCTGTCATTCAAACAGTAATAAAGAAATGAAACTGCGAGCTGAGGCGTGTTGGAAACCAAGACCGAGCCTACAAATGATCCCACGTAACTCGAGAGAAGAGCCGTCGATTCGATAGCACCCCATCCTTTGATCTGCCAAATGGCAACCAGTGGATTGCCGTATTCATAATCGTCTCCGAGTGCATTTTTGACGGCAAGGCCGGGGAAAAGAACACTTATGACAATGTACACAATCAATGCAAGCCATGTCATGGCCCAAATCCTGCCACTGGTTCCTTGCCTCCAGATTTTGGGCTCTGGGGGAGGATCCCTTCCACTGGTGGGTTGTAACGCGGTTTTGCGTGATGTGTGAAGAACTCCAGGGTGGGGTTCTTCCGAAACAAACCCTTCCTTCTCAATGGTATTGCTTTTGTGGCTCCATGGACAGTCGTTGTCTGACGACACGGCGTCAGAAGAGAGAGTGCACCAGCCTTTGGTGGTTAGATCCGAGCACTGGAGAAATGATGAAATCGCGTCGCCGATGGTGAGGAACAAGTCGAAACGGTCAGTGCGTAGTAGAATCCACATGCATGCCACTTTGACCAAAGAGCAGATAATGATGGTGAATGCAATAGGCACCTGGTAAAAGAGGCCGCACGCCTCCCCTGTCTTCTGGCTGAGGCAGTGATCGACGGTAACTTCATGTCCGGTATAAAACATAGTACTAGCCTGTGGACAAGCGCTCCAGGCCTCTGCACCATTTTCAACGGACTTTAGCCAAGAGGTGTGGTTCAGATATGCCCATGCCTGCTCTGTTGGGGGGTTTGTTGCGATCAAGGATATGAAATCCTCTATTTCATTGTGGGTCCAATCGATGTTGGAGGAATTGAGAGTTCGCTCAAGGCTCTCTATATAGCCACTTCTGGTCTCCAGCTTGTCGACCGTGATATTAGACCAGGTATCTTTGAGTTCTACCGTTGTGAGCCGGGCCCATTGGTTGGCTGTCACATTCCAGCTTTCAAGGCTTTCGACATAGCCACTCGAGCAAGACGATAGCCCGCCGCCGTTAGCTGAATGTGCGTAGCATATCCAATCGAATCCAAGGTGGCGGTCCATATAGGCTTGGTTGTCTGTGATGGCAGACCAATCTTGGCTGAGATTTCTCGATGGGTCCATTTCTGGTATGCCCCCTGCATAGCCATATCCAGCCAACAGTATCCCATCGTTAGTCAACATTTCCTTTGTCACAAGAACCAAGCTGCGGCGGTCAGAGATATAGCTTGTGGCGTATGCATCGAGGCAGTCCTTCTTGCTCAGGTACTCAAATGAACCATTGAAAATGTCTCTTCGCAGATCGGTGACGTTCCAATGAAGACGTTCCTTGGGAAAGCAATTCTCAGATTCGTAGTATGACGTAGGCACGGTCGAGTTCGAGACAAAGTCGAGTGGTGCAACAATGACTGGATAGCTATTGGCATTCATAGAGGAGAAAACAACGGAATTGTACCTAGTCGTTCAGAAGGATCAGTCACTGCCCCAAAAGCCCGTCGCTTGCTGTGTTGAGCTTACACCATCTGCATGACTGTCGATGTAAGCAACAGTAGTCCCCATAGAATCTGGCTCGATCTCTTCATGTTGCGAAAATTTCGCCAACTGGCAACTCCGATCGAGAGCCATGTACCCTTGGCGTGGGCCTTGTCGACATCTGAGCGGGATGGGGCCATGAGAATCGTACAGCAGTAGCTACTTGTCGCAGTCACGGTCACGCTGAGAACGTTAACCAGTAGATGAAGACCGATCTTAGAGTACTGTGTTGTTTCGCAAGACCCCCGGTATATCGCGATGGACCCGAAGCCCTGGTCGCTGTATTTCGAGGCTGAAACGCCAAGCGCCGCGATCATGAATATGATGTTGATCGCTAAGACCGCAATATTTCCCCACATACACCATCGCACAGGGTCTTGCCATGGTGGCTTCACTTTTGAAATGGATGTGTCGACGAGGTCCTTTGATTGGCAAACGGCTTGCGGTAAATCGACTTCGGCGGGCGCAGGTTGTTGAGCATCAGGCTCCGAAACCGGTGAGGGTGACCTAGAATGCCTGAAAGGTCAATTGACCAGACAAAAACAAGCCTTGAAGCCAAGAGGCTAGTACGAACTCTAGCAGTGCATTCTCCGTCAGCTCATCCCACTCGTTTGGTGACCCATTTGGGCACTGGGTTGTCTCTGGGTCATGGTCGCTGTGGTCTCCGCCAAGTCGCTCATATCTTATGGGCGAAGACATCCCGCGGGGTATCAATTGCTGGAATACTGCATGTCACCATATGGGGGCGGGCATCCTTTTGGGGTTCTCTTAATATTCCGACTACGGCCCCCGGGGCGGCCCCCGAGGCGGCACGTAGAGTCTCATCTTGTTCGTGTGGAGCGAAAGTGACGAATCCTGAGGATCCAAGCGCATGTGATGGCCCAGGGAGTGAGTGCAAAGTAATTGTTTTGGCGATCTTCAAACAAAGCCCAAGATCTTTTGTCCTTCGGAGATTCCGGAGATTTCCGATCAATTGACAGGTGTTGTCCACTCCAGGGCTGTCAGATATGTCTCTGAACCGGGTACGGAGTATATCCCCACATTCCAAACTTGTCCCATTTCGCACGTTTTGAAAGGACTCCACGCCTTTCTCTCATTTTCGTAGCAATCAGCAAACTTCCAAGGCTTCGGTCGCGCTGAAACCACGCGCTAGTTGCCTAGCAGTTGGGTAGGCAACTTCCAGTGGATCCTCTTGTATGTTCTTCTCTTTTATTGTCGGGCTAACATTATAACGGAACCAGCTGTGTCTCAGAATACCTAGGTAGGGTTGGCTGAGGGAAACGTCAAGACCAGACAAAGGCCGAAAATGGTGGGTCCGCATGTCCGACTCGGCAAACCCGGACATGCAAAGTCCGGACTGCCGGATATGACGCACGACACTATATGAGAATTAACATGTTCAGAGTAAAAATAAGCACTTCACTGAGTACCTAGTACCTGTACATCTTCAAGGTTCTCCGATGATAATTACCTAGGTAAGGTTGATGCTACACTGGAGCGAAGGAGAAATTTCCTTTGATCAGAATATGTATATCATTTAGCCGCATCATGAAAAAGCCGAGCGCAGAAAATTACATTCTGCTGGGGTTTACTGCCGAATGATGTGATTCAAAATAGCCCCGAGAAAACCTTGGAAGCCATTCCTAAAATTTGCCCATTGTTTTGGCTTAAAGTCGATGGAACCTTGGAAGCAAAACAATATCCAGCTGCGTAGGTAGCAACTACCTTAGACTCCAGGGCAGCCCCGGGGCCCGGGGCTGTAGGGTTGACTTTAATGTGATTGTGCACGTGGACTTTCACCGCCGGGCGTGGACCCCCAGCTACTCACGGCGCCCGGGCGCCTACCTGGTCTTCTCCCACCCTCCCCGCCGATCATTGAATCTCCGGGGCCGCCTTTGCGTACCAAGAACGCTGAAAGATGTCTAATTCAGAAAGACTGAGTCTGGGGTCTCCATCTGATTCTCCTCAGCGGGCGGCGGACTCATTCACTACCTGTCGGACATGTCGAAATTGTCGCCAGAGAAAGGTCAGGCTGGGGTGTATTAGGTCAAGTGTGATGCTCGTCATCCACGATGCAGCGCGTGTGACGCCAGAAGAGTCGAGTGCGTCTATCCACAGGATGCAAGACGCAGAGCCATTCGAACCCGAAAGTCCGATGTTAGATCCTTGCAACGGCAGATCGAGGAGCTCAAAAAACAAGTTGATGGGGCAGCAGATACTCTGCTTCCTGGTGGCATGCCAGAAGATGAGACTTTGGAGACTCATAGTGCGGCAGGCTCCCAATCTGACAATGTCCGGCGAGTAAACCGTGAGCTGCCTCGCTCATTTCACTCACCACCGTCCGAGGGAAGACCGACAACTTCAAGAACAAATCCACAGCATGCATTCCATGATTTATCTTCGCCACTGGCATGTCATCAGAATCTTCCTTCTGGGGACCAATGGTCACAGTCCCAGAACTTAATTATTCAAGATCGACAACGCTCGCCCGAGTCCGTGGCCGCAAAAGACCTTCAGGTGTACGGTGCTACAAGTTTACTACACGATCAGTCATCCCAAACCCCTTTGGCAAATCAATGGGAATCTCATGGAGAAGAACCGGAATTGAGAACGGAAAACATCAAAGCCCAGCTAATTTCAAATGCCGCACTGCGTCGACAAGAAGAGTTCAAATTCATCTACACGCCCAGTATAGGATCCAATGTCGACTTTGACGGACTTTCCATGAATACAGCACTTCACCTGCTAGACTTGCACTGGAATCGTTCGCATCTATCCTACTTACTAACCTATCGTCCCGCCGTGATGGACAGCTTACTCAACAATGGTCCCTACGTGAACAAACTCCTCCTCAACGCGATCTACATGCAAAGCAGCTTATACAGCGATCGTCCTTCGCCCCCCGGACTCGATCATCCAAATGACAAAGGATTGGAATTCTACGAGCGGTTCAAGACCCTCCTACCAAAGTATCTTGATGAACCTACACTCCCGACGGTGGCCGCTCTACTCACATGCGGTGCGTGCCTTGTCCCATACGGCAAGCAAAGTGCAGGTTGGGCACTATCCGGAATGGCATACCAGATGATCATCGACCTTGGGTGTCACTTGGAATTCCAACCTTCAAATGAAGGGAAAAGGTCTACCAGATCGACGATAAGGGAGCAAGAGATGAAGGAGAGGGTCTTCTGGGGCGCTTTTGTCAGTGATAAATTTCAATCGCTTTTCCTTGGCCGGCCACCAATGATGCAAGAAAGTACCGCCAATGTCACAAGCACCTATATGGACCCCTTCGAGGAGATGGAGGAGTGGCGACCATATTATGATCCTATGTCACAGCCACTCGACGATTGTATCCCTGCTTATCGTGGCAGACCATCGTATGCTATAAGCACCTTTCAATCCTTACTGTCTCTTTGCAAAACGGCAAGCAAGATGATTGATAATTTTTATTCTGTGCAAGCTCAGAGGAGCTCAAAGGAAACGCTTTTACAGACCAGGGACTGTATTCTGAAAGAACTCAGACAATGGAATGAGACACTCAGCCCTTGGCTTCAATTCGATCCAAGCATGGACTCAATACCGACACCACACCAGATGACACCACAGTAAGTATTGACGTGAATTCTGGAATCGATTTTTAAACTCACAGAAGATAGCACTCTACATTGGACCTTGGTCATCTTAACGGAGCAAGCCTTTCTAAGTAAAGGCCACTTCGGCTTCGTATTAACCACGAAAGCGGCGGAACAAGCGAAACAAACATGGATTCACGCCGCATTGAATATCTGGAAGCTGGTGGAAGCTTACAGGAGGACGTTTACTCTCCGACGAGCGCAATATGGTATTTCCTATGCAACCTATTGTGCTGTTCTCGTTATGCTTCAACACACAAGGCATGACAACAAGGAGTACAATGAATGCATTCGGTTCTTTTGGTCCGCACTATGGGAATACCAGAAAGGATGCAACAAAGGGCTCAAGAAGCCATTACAGCTCCTCCGATCATTGATGCGCAGACTCAAAAGATCAATGGAAGAGGTAGAATCAGTGGAAGGAAACTCCCTAAATCACACAAACACAAGTGAGTCGCACTGATGATGGATCTTGAGGTTTATGATTCTGACTTTCCCGCCTCCTTTTCCACTACAAGATGCTCACGCGAACATGGATTCCTACTTCGGTGTCCAAGGGGGTCCACACATTGACCAGTGGGACTACTCTTGGCTCAATTCTCTTTCTGAAGATAGCTCAATGACCGGCGATCTGGGATTCGGCATTTTCGCTTAAGATCTATACCTGATCGGAATGGAATACCTCCATGATATATAACAACATTAATTGAGCAGGGCATGAAATAAACTAGCACTAGGTGTGGCTCAACACCATACTTCAATTTGGAGCTATAGAGGGTTCCAACGATTAAAATTCGAAGACACGAGATGAAAATATGACGAGATTCACCCAGAAAACAATGGAGGAGAGTGCCGGGAACATTCGAAGGGAAACCAACATGATTTGAATTTGGACTGAAAATGCGCCCCAACAACTGACTTTTCAGTGCGCAGAGAAGTTTTCGTCGAGTTTTGATATTCTTTGATAAGCGCTAGAGCTCCAATCTCACGCAGCCGAGAGATACGTGTTGTGGACTCTTGCGTTTTCACGTTGCAAAAATTCCTCCCAAGTTCCCAGTGAGATGTTCCACTTTGAGATTTCCTTCGAATCCACCAGCGATGCTATATTGCGTGACATAAGTTGACCACAAATAAAAGGATTGGTCGACTTCTGTGCATTGATTTCCTCATCCGAGAGGTGGACAACTTTGAACCCTCTCCCAGTGACACGAGACAGACATTGCATCAAGGCGTCGACGCCCAAAAATTCCGACACGATCGGAATTCCCTGTTGATTGTATTTGGTAGGATCGAGCACTGCCGCTGCGGCGAACTTGCCAATGTCGTTTGGGTCGACCATTGGGAGTATGGTATCGGGGGCGTAGGCGGTGGTGAGTACACCAGTCTCGGTGAGGCCTTGGTACATCATTGCCATTGGAGACAAGAAGTTCGTCATGAAGACGGCCGGGCGTAATATTGTCCATGTGTCGAATCCCGCCGTGCGAACTTCGTTCTCAATGGCCTGTTTGTTGAGCATCATGGCGCCGACCATGTTGGTTGGATCCCAGGCCGTGAAGCGGGAAGGGTCATCAGCCGATGTAGCACTGGCGTAGACAATATGCTTGATTCCGGCGCTTTTGGCGACCCTGAGAACTCGGCACGCTTGCTCGAAGCTTGCGTTGAGGTCCATCATGTTTGGCGTCAGGTTTAGGAAAAGGGTTGTGCAGTTGGACATTGAATCTTTGAAGGACTCTTCGTGATCAAAGTCACCCTCCGTTATGGAGACCCCCAGTGTTTTGAGGCGTTGGGCAGCCTTTGAGTCGGAGTTTCTTGTAACGGCGTGGATGCGGGTGTCGGTCTTGAGAAGGTGGTCGATCAAAGCTCCACCCTGAGTGCCTGTGGCACCACAGACGAAGATGGTCGAAGACATTTTGATGAAGGTGGGGGATGCTGAATGCTTCACTTCTGCTGGTCGCTGCTTTATATTTTATACCTCCCCATGTCGACCCTGCGAAATCCACTGCTTTTTTTACTTCGCGGAACTCCCCAGGACCCACCCAGCGGACGACTTCCTATTGGCGGAGCCACAGCCTCATCCCATTAGCGTGCGGAATTCCGCTGACGCGACTCATTTCTCTTCTTCGCCTACTCTACTTACTCCCTTGGGAATGCACGCCAAATGTCTACAGGCCAGGTGCCCCGGCGCAAGTCATGTGAAGCTTGCAAATCAGCTAAGCGACGCTGCGACTTGGCCTTTCCGACCTGTTCGAGATGTCTCCACAGGGGGCTTCCGTGCTTTTATCCCGGCAGACTGCGTCAGACATGTGCCGATGTCGTCGCAAATATACCCACATCCAGGAGCAATGAACAGCTGATGGATGTCTCTCTCTCTCAAAATTGGACTCCTGATGATGCAGCTTCAATCAGTGCACTGCCCCTCCATCCCACAATAAGAGGTTTGCCACCCAGAGAGATGGCTATAGATCCACACGACGGGGTAGATATCTTCAGCGGCATTACGACATCCCAAGAACACGATCTAGCCATGACGAAAGTGAATCCTCCTAGGCAACTGCCTGATGTCCTAGCGAATCGCCTGCAATTCGCCGTTGATGTGCTTAAGACTATCCCCAAGATGGTTGTCACAGAAAACAAAACACCATGGGCACATACCCAACTGTACAAATCAGGCATGCCAAGGGAGATGCAAGGTGCGCCCATTCATCTAATCATTGACTGCGAACTCTGGTGCTAACCTGTTTGAAGACGCATTCGCTTGCTGCTCGCTTTACATGACCAAGAACGATATAAACTCGTCTGTTCTCATGTCAATATTTGATTCCAAAATCAATGATCTACTATCTGCTGCAGCCCCAAAAACGCCTCTAGAGCTCCTGGCCCGAGTCCACGCTCTCATTCTATACCTCATCATGCGCTTATTCGACGGGGGCATCCGCACACAGCCATCGTCGGATTCCCTACTGGCACTACTGGAAGCAACAACTTTGTCCCTCTTCAGTCTTATATACATACCAGATCCATCCGAGCCTCATGATCTACTTCCCATAGCCATGGAACCGATAATGAGCTTCTGGGAGTCTTGGGTCTTTCAAGAATCAGCCAGACGGACCGTCATGATGGTTTTCTACTTTGTCAAAATCCAGCACTTTCTACATGGAAAGCCTCTATCCACATGCGATGGAAAGCTTGGTCTGGAGCATGCATGGTACCAGTCCGCACATTTGTGGAATGCCCAAAGTGCCTTCGACTTTGCGGTTGCTTGGACAGAGAATCAGCATTTTATTGTTCACAATGCGGATTTCTCCGCAGTTCTTCAGCATGCAACACCGGATGATGTGGACTTGTTTGGGAAGATGCTTCTTGTCACCAAGTTTGGTATCAACGAGACTAAAGCATGGTTTTATTCCAGGGGTGGCTCTTTATGAGGACGGCAGCTTGAGCGACATACTTCGAAAGCACCTATCTTTGGTTCTTAGATCCGGAGGAGGTCAACTCACCGCACAGTCAGATCCCAAAAAAATAATGATCTCTTCATTATGAATCTCCACCTGTTCAGCCAACTGGTTGTACCCGTTTGTTTTACGGCGAATTTTCTCGGGCGGTACCTACCCATGCCACGGCCCGTTACCGGCTAACGACCCACGGCTACGGGTATGAAGAGGCATTCTTGGCTTGAACTGGGCGCAACTCAACGGGATTTCATCATTTTTGTCAAGGAAGATGCTACATTGAAATATTGAAAACCAAGCGCCCGGGACGAATTTGTTCGCGTCCAAAACTGGTCAGCCTGTCAAGTACCGCTGACTGCTCTTCACTTTGGACTTGTTTTCTCATCTCTCCAACCGTGAGCCTTTGATACTTCAGGAACACTCCAAAAGATGACACCACCCGCTTGGAACCACAATGAGTCCCGCCAAACTGCAAAATCGCGACCGAACCTGGTGATCTTCATGCCAGATCAGCTGCGATACGACTCAGTTGGCTGTTTCGGGAATCCCCATGTCCGCACACCCAACATCGATGCCTTCGCAGCACGAGGAACAAAATTCACCAACTGTTATTTACAGGCCACTGTCTGCTCTCAGAGCCGTTGTTCCCTATACACTGGGCAATATCCACATGTCTCAGGCCACCGAAGCTTAACAAATCTCATCAAACCATGGGAACCCAACATGTTCCGCTCTCTCAAGGAGAGTGGATACCACGTTGCGTGCTTGGCGCCTAGAGGAGACACGTTCGCACCCACAGTAACGGAGCTCAGTGTTTCAGAATATGGCTTTCTAGTGCCTCCAGAGTGGATGCCGAAATTCGGCAAGGGCGAGGCACCAGAGCCATCGGAGGATATCCTGGAACGTTTGTTTTACCGGGGGCTTCGAGATCAAGACAAAACGATCGACTACGATGAAGCTGCCGTGCGGTCTGCGATCAAGTGGCTTGAAAACCCACCAAACGGCCCATGGGTGCTTTATCTACCGTTGATATTCCCGCATTGCCCATTCCAAGTCGAAGAGCCGTACTTCTCCATGTACGACCGCCAGGAAATGCCAATCCCCTCGAAGCCGAGCCATAAGACAGGCTATGAGCCCAAGTACTTTGCAGAGAACCGGAACCGCTATGGTACAGAGCGAGCGACCGATGAAATCTGGGCTGAGATTACAGCGACTTATTATGGCATGATCTCGCGTCTCGATACGCAATTCGGACAGGTCATATCAGCATTGGAAAGGACAAACTTGGCGAGCAACTCAGTGGTCGCATTCTACACCGACCACGGCGAATATCTCGGAGATCATGGCATGATTGAAAAATGGCCCAGTGGTGTGTCTGAGGTTCTTGCGCGTGAGCCGCTGATCATAGGTGGTGCCGGTCTGCCCGAGGGCAAGACCAACAACGACATCTGTGAGATGGTCGATCTGCTCCCTACTATTTTTGAGCTTTGCCAAGTTCCAGAAGCCTTTCCACACAATGGTATCTCTCTGCTGCCCACGATACATGGTGATGGAGAGCACCCGAAGAAGTACGCGTACACTGAAGGCGGGTTCCTTAATTCAGAGGAGCCGCTTCTTGAACAAGCTCCCTACCCATACGACATCAAATCTATTCTTCAGCACGAACAAACAGAGATTGTCGGAAAGGCGGTTTCAATGAGAAGCGCTGACTGGACATATGTTTATCGACTATACGAACAACCCGAGCTGTACAACAGGAGGTCTGACATCGAAGAACTTCACAACTTGGCTGGAGATCCAAAGTATGAAAGTATAGTTCGAGACATGCAGGCGGAAATGTTTCGCTGGATGATGGCAACTTCTGATTTCCTCCCCTTCCAGAAGGATGCCCGATTTCCCCCAGTTGGTCTTGAAAGCCCGGAAGAGCAGTATCAAAAGCGACTAGAGGCAGCTTGAGTTCCGACCCTGGCTCGTCGCAACTATCTTAGCAATCACAAGTATCCATCGTATAACTGCTCAACATCCTGGAACTGAAACCCGAGCATTGATTCCCCAAATTCATCGAGTATGTTTGTAAAGGACCCAGATCCAAGTACTTCTTCGGTCTCGAGTCCTGTATACCATGATTGGTCTCCAAAATCTTCTCTTCTGGCTGGGCTTTCCGCCGGAGATGCTTTATTGTCATCATTTCCTGCTTCTGTGCCTGCGGGACCAAGCTGACTAGACGCCGTCGCCGTCACGGGAGGGCTTTGGGGATAGTGCTGAAGCACTTCCTCGCCTTTCTCAAGGTCATTCTGTCGAACTCGAGCTAAAATGTCGAGTATGTTGGTGTCTAAAATTTGCTCCGCCTCTGAATCCGGGGTCATTGTATCGGGATCCGAAGCCCGCGCGACCGCAGTGTGAATCAATTTTTGGATTCCATTGTACTGGATTGATCTCAGCGTCAGCTCATCTCGTTCGAAACTCTCGGAAATATGATACTCTAACAGAACAACAACTTTAGGGCGACGGAGCTGGTTGCATGACTTACCAGCTGGCGAGTGGATTCGTCCATTGCAATAAGAGGGGTCAGAACGTCAGCTGCGTCCTTGAGTTTATGAAGTGTTTCCAGTGCTGCTGACTGAGTTTCCAACAGCCCAATGTCGAAAGCTCGTATCAGGATCCTCGTGCATTGATACACAAAAATCTTGATCCCAGGGTCCTGCAGCGTTTCATCGCCAAACTTTCCTGCCATTTGAAGTAAATCAACGAGTGATTTCGCGTGGTTAACGGCCCGCAATTGACAGTACGTTGCATACTCAGTTGACGTCTGCTTAAAAGCTTCATCTGGCAGGGAATCCCGCAGCCCAGTTATCAGGAACCTATACAAGTCACAGTGGCATTGGTGCCATTGAGCATGCAGCATAAAATACCGCCGCATGTGTGGTGAGTAAGCGCGCAGGCTCAAGTTGCGTTCATTCAACGCCAGAGATGCGGGTAACGAAGTTTTCAGATTCAACAAGTCGGATTCCAACTGAAGTAGATCACCGCGAGTGTCATCTGCCCGGGCGCCTTCCGAGATGACTCGTCTGGTATATCTGAGATGCAGTTAGTATCAAGGTTTGTGTCCGACACGGTTTCACTTGCTGGAGAATCTCATGACGGATACTTGAAAGTCTGCAAAAGTATGCCCTAGTCCCCATGTTTGAGCTCTCTTTGTCAATATCCAAAGGAACAAGGAGCCCAGTTCTACCCGGAATTCCTAGCTCAAACTCCTTCTCGTTTGAAGGAAGTTGTATATGCATCAGATTGTGAGTACATGTTACCAGATCCACTTGGCCACCCGCAAGTCGCCTTTCCAAGATGAAGATAGACCACATAATACGACGACGAATCTCCCGAGCAGTGATAGAAAGCTTGCTGTTCTCATGGTTGAGTCTGAGCAGAAAAGCCATCTTCGCTGCGATTCCGAGAAAAGGCTGCAAGGCCAGGAAACGAGATAGTGCAAATTTCTGGGAAATCACGATTACCAGCACTTGAAGAACTGCGATGGATGGCCGTCCAATATTTGACCATATATACGACTCAGCCTCAAGAAGCCAGCTTTCCCTTCTTGTGGATGCAGACATGCTTGCAGGCACGTAATCTGCCGACGCGCTGCACATCGCTTTCAGCAAGGCTGGGTCAACTGCTCCACTCGTCCAGGCACGCAGCAACAAGGCGCGATGGATGAAACCATTCTCACAGAGAACGGCGACGTGCTCGAAGTATGCGTCGATATAGAGTCGGATGATGGTCTTCTCCAACCCAAGCTCTTTGCAGGCGTAATCATTCTTGTGATGGGGATCGGTGTGGGTATTATTTACTTTCGGCGAGATCGCAGATTGTACATTGCTGGACAAACGGCGCTGGGAGTCTTCTTGAGGAGTCTCTAGTGGAGACGACAGCGGGCTTGCTTGAGTGTCTTCACATAACGGAACCGCTCTTCGCCTCTTTCGCGTCTTCGGGGGAGGTTTAGGTACTGCATATTGGCATGGGATGCCCTTCTTACAGCACCGCTCACAGGCAGGTGTTGAGCCGGAGCATTTTGCCTTCAGCAAGTGACATTGCTTACAGGCTTGCCGGATACGTTGTCGTTGTGTCCCGCTTTGTGTCAAGTGGGCCGCTTCACTCGGCACGGCAGAGCAGCTCAGCTCCATTCTTCAAACTCCTTCAAATCAATTTTCGTGGATTTAGCACAACGGCTAGCAAGCACCGGCAACGGCAAGTTCTCTCAACCTCAGGGGTGTGCCGGGCCGTTGTTGCGACTACATAAATGGCGTGCTCAGCCACCTCGATTGCGACCCCTCAACGACCGGTTAACGGTTCGCACTTCAATTGCTGCCGGCTAATTGAAGGCCATTGCCTCATTAGTGCTCAGTGTATACTAAACAACATATCTTGGGTGAATCACAGAATCAGACGCCAATATGACTACTATATCAGAGCTGATGCTTTCTACTTCAATCCAAACTTGGAATTTCGGATTCCTTTTTTCGGTAAAGCCACAGCACTCTTCATCTCTGCTTATATTGGAGTTCGATACATTAATTTGCGGCAATACCGTGTCCATATAGCCATGGGCCTCCACGACGTGAGCAAGTGCTTCAATCGACGACTTGCACTGTCATCCGGCCTGATCGCCCTCTCGAGCTTCAACTATGCCTTCGATAACCAGGGATTTGCGCAGACACAGGCTATGGATGCCTTTGAAAAGAGATTTGGCGTGTATGATATTGAAACGAAGACATGGTCCCTCGACACTCAATGGAAGTCGTACTTTAATGGTCTGCCGTATCTGACATTTGCTTGTGGTATGTAACGCGTGATCGGGAATTCTTGGTAACAGAACCCTAACCAGCAAGCAGGTGTCATTATTGGCAGTCTTATCAGTGCTCGGTTTGGCCGTCGGTGGTGCATGTTTGTTATGAGTATTTACGCTCTCGCCACTGCTACAGTAACCACCACGTCCCATTCGAATGGGCAGATATTGGCTGCAAGGATTCTCAATTGTTGGTTTAATCAGCCATGCGCATCGATTCTCTACTGACCTATATAGATGTCTACATTGGAATGGAATTATCTGTCGTCCCTGTCTTTCAGTCTGAAATTGCCCCGACGCAAATCCGTGGGTTCATAGTGGGCACATATCAACTGACTATTGTGGTATGTCCCACACGCGATCGATCCGTCTAGTGCTAACATAACCTTTCAGTTTGGTGGCATGGTAATTGGCTGGGTATGCAACGGAACAAGCAGGTTGCAAGATGACCGTTCATGGAGGATACCTCTTGGACTCTTCTTTGTCATTCCCACAATCATATCATCGCTGATTTGGTTTATCCCGGAGGTGAGACAATCAAACTGTGCTTTTTTTTTACAAGAAAAAGCTAACATCGGTCAGTCTCCTCGTTGGCTACTCATGCAAGGCAAGACAAAAGAGGCTCGCACCAACCTACAGAAATTACGAGAAGGATCGTTCACCACGGATGAGATTGAAGAAGAGTTCAAGTCAATTCAGAATGGTCTAGACAACGAACCCGAACAAGGTCACTTCAAGGAGCTGTTCTCATCAACAAACCGAAAGCGAACAGCTATTGTGGTCGGATTGAACTTTTTCCAACAAGCGACAGGACAGGCCTTCGCATCCCAGTACGGTACACTGTATGTCAAGTCACTGAAGACAATCAATAGTTTCAACTTCAACGTGATCAATGGCTTTATCGGGCTCTTTATCATTTTGATTTGTCTCTACCTCAACGACAGGGTCGGGAGAAGGTAATATCAGCCTCGGCGACGAAAAGAAGTTTTACTGACTCTCACAGGCCCTTGCTGCTGATCGGTGCAACCGTTCAGGCGACTGCTCTTCTCATAATGGGAGGACTCGGGGTCCGCACGCCATCATATCCTCAAAAGTCAGCCATTGTTGCAATGCTGTCACTATTTACAGTTGGCTTTAACATTGGGTGGGCGGCTCTAACATACGTGGTGACCACTGAAATTCCGACGCTTCGCTTGCGAGATAATTCGCAGCGAATTGCATCCGTTACGAATGTTCTCACTTTGTAAGTCGGATTATCATTTGCTGGTTGAAATGCTAATCTTGTGACACCAGTTTCGTCGTTTCATTCACTTTGCCCTATCTTATGGATGCTGGGTACGCAAACCTCCAATCAAAGGTCGGATTCATTTACGGCGGTATTTCTGTTATGTCGATTATATTTGTGTTCTTCTGCGTCCCAGAATGTCAGGGGAGATCATTCGAGGAGATTGACCAGTTGTTCCGGTCGCGCACGCCTCTTCGAGCATTTCAAAAGCAAAAACAACTCCTTGATGTGACCGAAATTGAGATCAAGGGGTTTTCAAAGGAAGGTTGATATAGAACATGTAGGTACATGCCATACAAGAATACCACCAGTTCATTAGATAGCCATTTTCAGCCGACGGTCCGCTCGTTTCGTATGCTGAGAATTGGCGTTCGACTTGTGTTCCTTATTATTTTCTCTCCTTCTTTCAGAGTAACACCACTTTTATCGCGCCATCGCTTTTTCTGTGATATCCCTTGCACTGCTTTCCCACTGATCCCACGCCAGGCTAAAGCTGAGGGTATCCCTCCACAAATCTTCCGGGTCACTTCCAGGAGGCACTCTCCTACCGTTCCCAATTTTCCCATTTAACTTCCCTTTCAAAAACCGCATGTGCCAAGTAATCATTCCAACTTTTTCGAACCCCATTCTCTCCGCAAGTCGAGCACTGGCAAGGTTCGTCGTGCTAGCGGACCAGTGAACCCTCCGCAGGCCAATGCCGCCTTGATCGGGCGAATTGAATGCAATCTGGAGTGCGAGTCCTACGGTGTTCGATGCCACATGGCTCCGTTGGTAAGGTGGCAAGATGACAATGAATCCAATTTCGGTGCAAAAATCCACCGGGGACGTGCGAATGAAGCTCACGGTTCCGGCTAGTTCTCCCTCGGGGTCTTCGGGAGATGGCGGGCGGGTCTTGTCTATGATTGCGAACGCAAATGATTGTGGGTTGGCGAAGGATAAGATGTGAGTTGATGACTCGTTGTGGAACCATGATTTGAGCTCGGCTGCGGAGCTAGGTGGGATCATGGGCATGTGTGCATATATCTCCGGGTGAGGTGAGGACAGGCGGAAGAAGGTATCACAATGCTTGTTTGGGTCGAAGGGAACAAGCTTGAGTCGCTCGTTCGACGCCTCTGGAACTGTGAAAGGGAAGTTGGAGACAGCCATCTTTGATTTAAGAGCTGAATATTGCAGACTATGTCTACCACGTTCCCTGGGAGTTGACTGCGGAAGAGTGATCAATTGGGGAATTTGTCTTTTTCGTGAGTCACTCCGCCAAGAGCCCAGTTGACGGCGAGACTTAATGTATTGGGCGGAACAAACAATTGGAATCGGATGATAAAATAATTGAATTAGCGCATAGGTTTGAGCATATGTATTGTACTCACGACTCCAACATTCATCGCAACTTGAACTTCGTTGATTATCGCTAAATATTATATACACAGTGAGCGCGAGCCACACGAACACTTTTCTGCCAACTTGTAATAGGAGAGATGTCTCAGATCATTCCAGGTCTGGACATGGAGCTCCGTTCTGGGAGTTCGAATGGTCCAAAATGTGACGTTCCTTTGTGATCCAGTTCAAAAATGGGCTTCTTCTCTGGGCCCAGCTCATAAATTTGACATTGCCCTGAAGCCATCTCGTATCTTTGTAGATCGGGATCCAACTCGTTGATTTGCTTCCATTCATTGACAGGGGCTTCTAGCAGCTGTGATTGGCGCTTGTCCATGTTTCTGTCATCCAAAATGGTGTGCAAATCCTCATCCGTAGGATCTTGTCTCTGCCTTCGCCGACGGCGAATCCAACATCCACAGATTAGTGCCAGTACCAACGCACCACCCACGACACTACCCACAATTATCCCAATTTTCGCTATAGTGGAGAGACCTGTATCAGTGGCTGTGTCGGTCGGTAGATGGGTTCCATTTGTCGCAATGGTAGAGGGTGTGGGCAGAACAACCCATTGACGCTTCCATGTATCTTCCCAGCTGCTAGAAGAGCCTGACACCGAAGGGTTGTTTTCGTCCATCGTAGCGGTATTCACGATGAAGGATGCATCTGGGCCAGGGGCTTGAGCCAAATACCATTTGCCTGAATGTAACCAGTTGACGCCGATAAATGCCGCTTGGAGGAATGCGCGACCTAGTACGGGAGTACTGTTGGTGGCCATGCAGGGGAAGTATGGAGTTGGCGTTTCGACAAGGGGAGCTTCCAACGTGAGGTTCAAGAGCGCGAAGGGAACTTTGATTGTGATGTATTCATTGTTCAGGCTGTTTTTGCTGAACTTGAATGCTAAATAGCTTGGAGAAGTCACAATCTTCTTGTATTGTGGGTCTGATGTGTCCCAAAAATAGAGACCGTAGTCCGCTTGATATGTGACAGGCAGCTCGGCAGCTATGGCGTCGCATGAACTTTGAGGCAGGTAAATATAGGGATTTGTCGGGTCCACGATAACTGTTAGACCCGAAGTCATAGAGGAATTTCCGTGTCCCAGAAGCCCAGTCTTGTTGGGGTAACTCCAGGCGGATCCTCCTTCAGCCACTCCGAGGCTCATGTCAAAAAGCTCGATCGGAAAGCTGCCGCTGTTGTATGACTGAGAGGAGACGTCTCCAATGACTCGGCTCTGATCGTATCCGCCCATGTGGAGGGACCCAGGAATTCCCAGTGATGCGGAGCCTATGTGCATCCCATATGAATATGACGGAATGCTATGGACACCTCCCTGGTCGTATAGATAACTGTTGATGAATGTTGTGTTGATTTTGATCGAAGCTCCAAATGTTTGATTCAGCTCCGGACTCCCGAGGGATAGAGTGCCAACTTCCAGGGGGTAAGCCCGACCATTTGGGTATGTCTGCCATCCAGCACGTATAAGGATCAAGTCGACTTCGGGGATCGGAGTGCCTTGAATGTTGATCCAATCGGTCGCTCGCCTCGCCCTGGCGTAAACTGGAACGGCTTTAGTATATCCCCAGTCGAGCTCATCCCAAGACCCATATGGAGGTAGTTGAATCGAGTTATTGTCGAGAGTCACCGACTTGTCGCTGTCAAAAAGCCCCCCCTTGTCGGCGAAGCATATCGAGGATAAAGTTGTATTGTCGCACAAAGTTGAAAGTAAGATTTTACTTTCCCAACTTCCGCCAGGGTACAGTGCGACAGCTGATGTTGGTTGCATGAGATCCGAAGAGTTGCTCCCCACGGCAACGTCCACGGCTTGCCAGGGCCCGTCGGGCCCAAAGTGCCTTTTTGACCAAGTCATCTCTCGGGGACCAGCACATAGTGCAGTCTGTATAGACACGGTAAAAATGACCAAAGCATGTCCAAGGTCTATCATTCCTATACCGCAAGATTCGTTAATAATTTCAGAGTATTCGACAGCTCGAAAGCACACAGAAAACAGTCCAGGGTTTAGTGGCGCTATTCACTGACCGATCAGCAGGCGTTAAACCGAGATTACAATCAAAGGGGTGTATTTCAGGCGCAGATGTTGATCTGACATATCCAGAAGCGAGAGTATTCAACCATATCGGTTTTCACTCCCCACGGAGAGCAAATCTCCGAAAGATTTGAAGATCAACCAGCTCGAATTCCAACAAGTGACACAACCTCCAAAACAAACCCAACAGCTGAAGGAATCGAAATCATGGTATTGGTCGGGCTCTCTGGTCTGCCAACAAGGACAAAGGTATCAGATAGAGAAACCTGAGAAATAAGCGCCTTTACTTGGATCAGTCAGGGTAAATCCAACGGCACTACCCGGCACATTGACGGGGATCTTGCTGCAATGCAGCGCCTGACTGACCTTCCCGCAGTTCTGCGCATTTCTGCGGGTGATCACCGGGCATTGGCGGCGTTTTGACACCAATCACTGTCCGCTATCCCGTGTTAGCGTGTGTCGGGTCCTGCATAGCGGACACTTAGCAACCAAATTTAAGAGCTCCGCAACTCTCATCGATGTGACGTCGGGAGTGAAATTCTCATTTCTCTCACTCTCGCATGGATTTCCAACCCCCGCAGGTCCATTATCGATGGTCGCGAATTTCTGAATTTGCAGAAAGTCGCAACGGCTGAATTTCCTCTCCAGGTGGCCTTTGGACGCTCAAGCGACGATTTCGAATATGGCGACTCTATCCCCTGGATTTCTTCGCGTGAGCTTTGTGTTGAGCTCATTTTTATTCGTATATGTGACCATCTCACACCTCCCTCACAGCTCAAACGCTTCGAGCAACAACGATTTAGTACTCGGCTTTTCATATGACAAGCAAGTCGACTGGTCACGGTTTGCATACACACAATATGCCACCGATAGATCCTATCTCTGCAACTCGTTGATGATCTTTGAAGCTCTGCATCGCCTTAGGAGCAAACCCGATCGAGTACTTCTGTACGCATCCGAATTATCCTCACCCGAGGACTATGACTCGAAAGAAAACCGGATGCTTCGCTTTGCGCGAGATAACTACGGGGTGAAGCTCAAGCCCATTCAAGTGCAGTTGCGAGGCGGCGATGGTTGTAAGTTGTCTCATATCCGAGGCATCTGTACGTGGCTTTGGCTAACACACGCAACAGCCCCCTGGGCTAAAAGCTACACCAAATTACTCGCTTTCAACCAAACCGAATATGATCGCGTTTTGCATCTAGACTCTGACGCCACTCTTTTCCAGGTAATACGTTCTCCTGGGGCTTTGATGATCATTCTAACGAAGTCTTAGCCCATGGATGAATTATTCTTGATCCCGTCGAGCCCCGTCGCCATGCCGCGGGCGTACTGGAAAGACTCAACAGAAAAGCCGTTCACGTCCGCTTTGATTCTAGTTGAGCCTTCGGCGGCTCAGTTTGCGCACATCGTCGAAGCAATTTCTGATGCCAATCCAAGCACGACCTTTGACATGGAGATAATGAACCAGATCTACGGGAATACTGCACAAACTATTCCACACCGTCCATACACTCTCTTGAGTGGGGAATTGCGTTCGAACGCCCATGCTGCTTACCTCGGAGGCGAGGATGAGGCATGGGATGCTGAAAGGATTCTTCGAGAAGCAAAATATGTGCACTTTTCCGACTGGCCCGTTCCCAAGGTAGGTGTGAATGCAGGTTTCGCTTGTTCGTTTCGATAGAAATGCTAACTAGTCCTTGTAGCCCTGGTTCGAGGCTGGCAAGTCTGTCTTGGAAAAAGCGCAGCCAGCCTGTGCGTTCGACCCATCAACGGGATTGCACGATGACTGCCGTACTCGAGATCTTTGGCTGGGGTTATATGAGGACTTCAGGCTGAGACGAACGGTATTTCATCCTCGCCAATTTTTTGGTGTTTTACACAAAGACTAACTTGTCCTAGAATATCTGCAGTACTGCCATTTTGGACCCTCGGTACGGATCCTTGTCCTGAGCACTAGGAACGAATGCGTGACATCTTTTCGCGTGGGTCTAATGCAAGACCCACTGGCCATGGAGCGCTGGACGACTCTGGGCCCTTTTCATTCGCTTCTGTACATCATTACAGTTGCACATAACACACATGAACATATCCATGGGTATTGATTGAGACTGCAAGCCCGATACAGGTCTCTCGGTGTCAATAATCGTCAAATCAATGCTTTGAGAATTTCAGAGCCCGGGTGCCCTTTCAGCACGTAGCAAGGGCGTTGAGACTAGGGATGGCGCGTAGCACGGCAAAGGAAATGGTGGCTGGCTGCAACGGCCAACGCACGGATGCTTCTTGTTACTCCCTTTCGAGATCTACGATCATCATGCCCTTTGTGACGGTCACTTCCCGGTCTAGTGCTAAGTTCGGCCCCAATCATTCAATGCCTAGATGCAAGGTGTCAATCATGCACTTGGATTTTCGATGCTTTGATTTATGCAGAATGAGCGAGGGTAGGTCGCGTGACTCCGTTGTTCTCAAGCGATGACAAAATCTGTCTACACTCATTATCCTTGGCGAGACAATTTTCATTTTGAAGCTGAAGTGAAGCTTCCATTTCATTATCGGTGCTAATATTTCGACTATTCGCCGAGCAGTGGAAATAATGTCGACCGCCATAGATGTTCAAGCATGTGGAACGAAAATACTCGTGACAGGAGTAAGAATTATCTCGACTTTGAATAAAGTACCATCCCAAAGAATTGTTCATTAATTTAGGGAATAGGCTGCTGGGTTCTTGGGGTCAAACTTGGTTGATTTCCTCCTCGAGAAAGGCTATAATGTGATTGGACTCGACAATCTTCAAAGTGGCTTGCTGCAAGCTCAAGATCATTTGAGAGACCATCCTCGATACGAATTTCTTCAGTAAGCTCACCTGCTGCTCACTTTTGTCACTGAGTTAAGGCTTATTTTCGACCAGTCACAACATTCAAGATCCCCTTCCTAAATTGTCAGGTGTCAAGCAAATCTACAACCTGGCATGTCCAGCAAGCCCAGTCCACTACCAAAAAGATCCAGTCTCGACCTTGAGCACATGCTTCATTGGAACTCAGAATCTTCTCGAGCTGGCAAAAGCACGAAATATCAGAATTCTTCATACAAGCACCTCAGGTTAGTAAGACAATCCTCTTGGGACAGATGGAATCTTGGTTTCAATTGATTTCGAGCAAGATCTAACCAACAAATACTCATCATAGAGGTCTATGGAGATCCTAAAGTTCACCCCCAACCAGAGCACTACTGGGGCAACGTGAACTCATTCGGTCCACGCGCTTGCTACGATGAAGGGAAACGCGCGGCGGAGGCTCTGTGCTACGCCTACAAGGAGCAATACGATGTCGACATCCGGATAGCCCGAATCTTCAACACGTACGGACCCCGCATGAGTGCCGGAGACGGTCGAGTTGTGTCCAGTTTCGTGGCTTCTGCCCTCGCCAGCGAAGATTTGAAGATCACTGGCGATGGCAAGTCAACTCGCTCCTTTCAATATGTGACGGACTGCATGCAGGGCTTGTATAGCCTCATGGAGAGCGATTACAAGCAAGGCCCTGTGAATATAGGAAACAACGGAGAGTTTACTATTCAACAGTTGGCCGAGTTGACAACTGATATTGTCTCGCAGATGACTGGCCGCTCAAAGGTTTCAATCCAGCATCTCCCACCACTTGTTGACGATCCAACTGTTCGTCGACCCGACATCTCCCTTGCTAGGAATGTTCTTGGATGGGAGCCTGTTGTGAAGTTGCAGGATGGATTGCGTAAAACAATTCAGTGGCATATCGAACAGGACCTGCACCGCTGATCCAAGATCTTTCATGATACTCTATCTCGTTTGGTCTCTTCTAAACTGCCGCAAAGCTCTATGAGCTTTCCCTCGAGCAGATTTGGCATTTATCTGGATATCTTTCTTTCATTCCGGTGCATTCTGCCCTTTTGATGAAATTTATATATGACAACGCTCAAAATAGAAATGACTGTTACGCGAAAAGCTGGTTTTCAACAGTCAGTCGTTTACTGTACAGATGGATTCAAGGAGACAGTCAAGCTTGTGATTGTCGCACTCAGACCGTCAGCTTTCCAATTTACCTTATAGCCCCGTCAACGGACACGATATTACAAGAAAAGGAAATTCACGAATTTGTCGGTGATGTCTTTCCGCTGCGGGGACTCTCGCTCTCGCTCTTGCTTTTCAGTCCTACACTCTCCTCTATATCTCCATTCACCCAGGAGACCCCGCCATCACTGTTCATCTTATCAGTGATTTCATATTCATTCTATGGATGTGTTGGCTGGCCTATCGTATTCATGCATTCGCTCTCGAGCGTGGGTCCACAGGTCCGACACGGATTTCCTCTTTGGGGATAGCTTATCGCGGAGAAGTATGCCCAGCTGAACTTCCAACTGTTTGACGACCACTTCCCTGCCAATAATATCTCTCTCAAATTGACATTCTTAGATACTTCGCCTTGAGCTCGGGCCTAGTGCTGGTCTCTATATATTGCTCCAATCCGACCCAGCATGTCTTCTCTGATCCAACCCTCCAAAGTTTCATATCTTCGCTGACTTAGATATAACTCAACATTCATTCTCTTTCCCTTTTCGAATCAGGACTCACTATGGGTTACTATACAACCGATAACGAGACGCTCAATATGCCTGGGTTGTCTGGCAAGCAGTTCCCCGACACCGCCCCTCAACAATCAAGCGGAGTTCTGTACCACCAGCTACGCAGAGAGCCCTTGACTGTTGTTGGTGGTAAAGGGAGCTACCTTGTGACCGACACTGGGCTCGAAATCCTCGATGCCACTTGCGGTGCAGCTGTTTCTTGTCTTGGCCACAGCGATGAACGCGTCCACGAAGCTATCCTCGATCAACTGAAGAAGATACCATACTGTTATTCCCTCTATTTTACCAACACCGCTGCTGAGAATCTCTCGAAGCTGTTGGTAGACTCGACCGGGGGGATCATGTCTCGAGCCTATATTGTGAGCTCGGGTGCGACAACCCACAATCCCTGAACGAGATCATGACTGACATCTGTGGTTGATTAGGCACGGAGGCTGTCGAAGCAGCTGTCAAAATGGCCATCCAGTACTTTACAGAACTACCTGTTCCGGAGCCTCAGCGAGTGAAGTTTATCTCTCGTCATTCGTCCTATCATGGAAACACCCTGGGTTCACTCGCTGTCGGACACCACGCTTCCCGAAGAAGAATCTACGAAAGCCTTCTGTCCAAGAACATAAGTCACATCCCACAATGCTACCCATACAGAGGGATGAAGCCGAATGAAACCACAGAAGAGTACGTCACAAGGTTGGCCCAGGAGCTGGAAGATGAGTTCCAACGACTGGGCCCAAACACCGTTGCCGCTTTCGTGGCCGAGACAATGCCCGGTGCCGTAAGTACATTGACTGCATTTACATACCTACATAACTCACCATCTGATAGACGCTTGGATGTGTTCCACCACTACCTGGCTATCTCAAAGCCCTGAAAGCAGTCTGTAAACGACACGGGGCACTCTTCATCTTGGACGAGGTCATGTCAGGTATGGGACGTACAGGCACCCTCCATGCCTGGGAACAAGAAGATGTAGTCCCAGATCTGCAAATCATCGCTAAAGGATTGGGTGCTGGCTACGCGCCTATCGCCGGCCTTCTCATCAACAAACATGTTGTTGACACACTGAATCAGGGCACCGGTGCATTTGTCCACAGTCAAACGTACCAAGGGCACCCTGTTGCCTGCGCAGCTGCCTACAGAGTTCAACAAATCATCCAGGAAGATAATTTGCTTCCCAACGTTCGGGAAATGGGTAAATATTTAGGCGAGCTTCTTCACGAGAGACTTGACAACCACCCTCATGTCGGCGATATTCGTGGCAGAGGCCTCTTTTGGGCTGTATGTTTGTTTTTGGTAGGGTTGAGAAACTTTTGCTGACTTTTCATAGATGGAGCTCGTCCAGGATAGAGAGACCAAACAATCGTATCGGCCCTCTGAGGCGATTTCTTGGACAATGCATACCACGGGCCTCAAACCAGAACATGCGATCTCTCTGATGCCTGGGAGTGGGGGTGCTGATGGAGTAAATGGTGACCACATCATTCTGGCTCCCCCTTACAATACTACACAGGAGGAAATCAGGTTGATGGTTGATCGGACTGTTCGTGTGATTCAGGAAGTGCTGGGTGAGTGAGTTCTGGGGGTGATTATAATCCAATCTTAGGATGCGGATATCAGTTCTATATAGCGACAATTTTGTTTCATTTCCAAGATAACCTTGAAATTCATGTCTTCCAAAGTTATACTAGGTACCTAGGTAGGTGCGCCATGATCATCAATGTAAATTTAACGAGATGTTGTCAACGAATCAGATGTATATATATTTGAGGGCTGGTAGATGCCAAGCAATTGTTGAAGACCCGCTTCGAAGGGGCTAGGTGACAAGGTCAATCGGGGGCATCCACAGGTCCCAAGGTATCATAGATGGATATAAGAAATATCAAGCGCCTCGCAATCAAAGCGATAATCAACATGAAAATTAGAAGTTGCTTATTTCCAGCTCCACCGGATTTCGTGATTGCATTGCGGAATGGCATGGCACTAAACCTGATGAAGAAGACACGGAAGAGCCTGATTGGCTGCAGGTCAGGTGATCGGGCCACCCGTGGACAAGTACAGAGAGCCACGCGGGGAAAGAAGCTTCCCTGATGTTCCCGAGGTCAACATTGGAAAAACATGCGAAGCGAGAGACAGCTGCGTTCAAAAACAGGTACTGCTTAGCAGCCCCGCCGTGGATATACCCACTGATCGAAATAGGATGTCTTCCGTGTCGACAAAAGCATAACAAGTGCGAAGAGCAACACCCAACATGTTCTTTCTGCGCATCGAGAGATATAAAATGCATATATCCGTCCGGATTGAAATGGGCTCAGCCCACAAAGTCAATGGAAACAAGACACAAGCCTCGTGCTAAACAAAATCGAGCCACGGAACAAAGGTTGATCAGACAACCCTCTGCACTTTTTGCAAGCACGCGCTTTGAATCCGCAGAAGAAAGATCAGCATGGGAATACTGTATGTATGCTTATGATTTATGATTCAGGCTCGAGTGTCTAAATTGAAATACATAGATGTGAGGATGGTCTCATCAAATGTACCAGCTATGGATGGCCCAGATAACCCCTATCGCCAACTTTCAATACCGGCACTGTCATCACCAATCCTGCTCGAGACCATCGTCTGCATATCGACAGAGCACATGCTGAACTTCGGCCTCGCAAGCATTGATCTTGCAGCCAAACGTCAGCAGAGAATGCTGAGAACTCTTGGCCAAAAGCTCCTCACCCTCGAAAGTACCTCGAATCCAGACACAATCGTCATCGAGAAGCCTGAGCGAGAGGCTCTCCTGATAGCTGTCGTTTTACAAGGGGTAGTGGTGGCGCAATCCGCAGACGGCGTGCTAGAACCACACGTCAAATGCGCATCCTGGCTCATGCAAGCACTTGGCTATTTCGAGATCATACCACAGAATCCAATTGCGCGCATGGCCGTCCAACGGTATGGAATGGTGGATGTGATGCTTGCCATCTCTCGGCAGCGAAGACCGTACGCGCCTCAACATTTCATCCTCAGCCAACCCAACGCTCATCTTTGGGATGAAACCGAGCCATCGTTTCATAAGATGACGGGGTGTCCACAGCCGCTGATGTGTTTCCTCGTCCGAATCGCACACCTAGCATGCGACGTCACCGAGAGGCCTAGTGGGGATATTCTCAGCGAAGCATTCCGACTTGACACCGAGCTTCGGTCGTGGGGAGCTAGATACACGGGGATTCTACCCAGTTGTGATCGTACCCCATTGGATATTCTGACAGAATGCTTCTACTGGACTGCACATCTCTTACTAGCGCGTCGTGTCTTCCAAGATCAAACGTGCTCGCCCCGCGTTCAGTATCTGGTCCATGTGTGTTTTCGATTGATGGATCATCTCGCGACGGGATGTGGGCCCGATTCTTCCCTTCCACAACCCTTCTATCTTGCTGCGCGGGAGGCTGTTTCGGCCGAAGATCGGATCTGGGTGCGACAGAAACATGAGTCCATGACGGCGTTTTATCGTGAGCAGCAGCGGAATGCGGCTATGGAGTTGATCGAGCGGATCTGGGAGACGACTGATGCGCTTAGGCAGCTGGAGCGGGGATCGGGCTTGGAAGAGGGGCTCTCTCTTGCGGATGGGGCTATTCGAACATTTGATCGAGAGGCAGATTTCTTTATATTCTAATACGTTAACTAGACCGTTCACCTGTTGATGATATACATGAGTCATGAAACGATGCACCTGGCAGCGGAGTTATTGTGGCAGGGTCAGGCATTTGCATAGAAGTCAAGAAAGATATATGTCGAATCCATGCTCAGGTGGATGGGATGATTACTGCATGCAGTAGTGGAAGCAAAATTGAGTGGACAAGGATAGGTCGAGATCAAAGGTACGGAGCTACACGTGCCTGAATTCGGATCCATACCTATCTACTAGGTAGGTAGGTAGATTCTGCTTTTCCCCCAAAGAATCCTAGACTTGACGTCTATATCCTAGCCCATTGATGTTGAAATATGAAGTACTGACCACAGGTTCTATGGAACTCGGACTACTGTATACTATCGAACCATGACAGCCCTGGCCAGACCAGGGCACCAAGGCACTCGGGATTTGGGTGACAGGTCATCACAGTTCCGGTGACCAATCATAATCATCACCCTGACGGCGGGTACCTGACACAATCCGCGGGACTGCACGTGTAACTGCACGATTATTGGCCGACAGCCTCGACTTAGCCCCTGGACCCGTGGATTCCTCACAGTGGCACCCATGGCTCGCCGAATCAGGGGAAACGACAGCAAAGTCTGCCCGGACACAGCCCTGGACAGATGAGATGGGAACATTTAATTTATCAGGTTTGATCGAGACCACTGCCGATGTTTCAGATTCCCCGCGAATCTCACGTGCCGTTCGCATCGAATTGGCCTTGGGGACTAAGTAGTAGTTAGTATGGGATGGTTTGGGTTCTTGGGCCCGACGCCACAATGCCATGACAGGCCTCTCCTGAAGTGTTACAGAACGTCGGACAATGTACGAGTCGCGTAAGGGGAGTTCCCCTCGAGCAGAGGCCCTCTCATTGCTCCAGACAGTGACAATTGCTTGGGTACATGCAGGTGGAAGCAGGGGCCCAAATCAGGATTTCCCGTCCCCCCCCCTCTCCGTAGACCAACATGGGAATCAACTCCAATGGCAGAACCGGACAATCCAAAAAAAGAACACATCGAGGCCCTGGATGTAGAAAAGAAAGGACCAAAGAGAAGAAAAAAAGAAAAAAACAATGGGGCCTTAGCTCCACGAGGTGCCAATAGTGGGAATTGCTTTGCACCGTAGAGTTCCTTGGTCCGGTTCTCCATGTGTAGTCAGCGCCCCATCTCCTGACTTCTTCCCTCTCTCACACTCTCTTCCAGCCCTTTTCGCCCACTTTCTTACGTTCTTTTCTTGAGGTCGTTCGTTTCATTCTTTCACGACGACCGGACCGCTCTTTCTGAATTTTCTCCTTCGTTTCATTCGAGAACGGCTTCCCCCCCGTTCCCGCCCCGTTGATCGATTCAACCTGGGCATTGCGATTCCAATCGACTCAACATATTGAGGAAACGAAGTCCCCTGCCCTTCTTTATCCGCTGCCTAGGCCAGCCATTTTATTTATCCCCTCGTTTTTTTTGCTGGACGCCTCTGCGACGCGCCCTGCACCCAACCTCCCCAGTCTCTGACGTGGACGCGATTCGATCCTTACGCCAGACTTCCATTCATTACTCCCTCTCGCGCCTGAGGCTGCTTCGAGAGGAAAACAACATCTAGACTATTTGTCTACTCGTCTGTCACCACACAACCACACTTATTACATCTGTCGACCGGATCGTCATATTCACACTTCCTCTTCGACAAAAAAGCTCTCCATACAAACAAAAAAAAAAAAAAAAAAGCCTTTTGATCATCACAAGCACACCGACGTCGCGCGAAGCTCTCCGTGACAGTTTGGATTATGTCGTCGCTGACAGACATGCATTACCCAACCGGCGCATCCGCGCCGGCCTCATGTTCGCCCCCGGACTCGACGCCCTCTCCATCAACTTCGAGTGCCACGGCCCATTCGTCCGCACGCCGGCCTCCGCGCAAGAGCACCTTGACTCAGCAGCAGAAGAACAACAAACGCCAACGAGCGACTCAGGATCAACTAGTTCTCCTGGAAGTTGAATTCAACAAGAACCCAACTCCCACCGCTGCGACTCGAGAGCGCATTGCTTCGGACATTAACATGACCGAGCGTTCGGTTCAGATTTGGTTCCAGAATCGGTAGGTCATTAAGCTTTCTGCATTTCTTTGGTCTTATTTACTAATACAATGTTAGACGGGCCAAGATCAAGATGTTGGCCAAGAAGAGCATCGAAACCGGTGAAGGATGCGACTCCATTCCGGAATCTATGCGCCACTACCTTGCGATGCAGTTCGATCCCAACAAGCCCGGCGCGAGAGATCCCTTCGGTCGTGCGGGTGCATACGGCCCCCCTAGCATGTATGCAAGCGAAACCAACCCGTCTGGCAAAGTTGGTACGTTTTTAGATCCCCCCTAGCTTGTGATGTGCAATTTGCTGATCTTTTGCCAGTGATTTCTCATTTCACTTGCCGCTCCTTGACTGTGGGTAGCTGGCGGCGCATTGGGCAAAATGCGATGGATCTGGTTGTGTTCTATTCGCCTGATAAGGCCTGCATGACCTATTACATCAACAACGACGCTGCCGGCTACAAGATCGAGTATCCGTTCGCCTATATTAAGAACATCACCTTGGAAACTGGGGATCCCAACCCTGGCCCCAATGGCGCACCACCCCGACCTGGTGGTCTGGTCGTGGAGCTGAACCGCCCACCGCACTTCTACATGGACTCGTCAAACTCTGGAGGCTTCTACCAGTGTGGTGATTTTACTGAAGAGCAGCAGGCAAGCCAGATTATGGTTCATCATCTGGGAGGCCATCCCAAGGTTTTGAGTGTTCAGCTTGCCAAGCTTGTGTCCTTGGAATCCTTCCAAAACCGCCTGGCCTACAACAACAACAGCAACAACAACAACTTTGCTGTGCCGCCTGCAATGTCTCCGCCGTTTATCCAGCGACCCGCATCTCAACCCAACCAATTCGCCGCATCCCCTTATTTGAACTTGTACCAGGACAGCAATCACCTGGGCTTCAACATGCCAGCAGCACGTGGTCACAAACGCCAAAGAAGCCGTTCCGTGCCCGTCGCTGTTGATATCTCGACCCTCCAAGGCCCCATGTCCTCTTTCCATGTGCCACCGCCGCCGCCGCCGCCGCCACCTTTCAACCACACCGATGCAGGAATCTACGCCCCCGTGCCGCAGTCCGTTCACCACCTTCCCACCGACCTCCGAATCGATACCCAGGGATACGGGCTCGACTTCCGTACAAACCCCATGTCCGCGACGACTACCGGATCCCCATCGGACTTTGCTAGCCCGATGTTCAGCAGCGCAGGACAAGGCGAATCTACCCCTGTTGCCAACATGACACCTCAGTTCAACTTCATTTCTGGCGGATCGACAGAGCCCTCGGCCATGGGCTCCCACGCTCCATCCCCGTATTCTAGCGTCAGTCCCGCAGACCCATTGATCGCAAACCACTCCCCGCCCCTGTCCAACATGCCTCACGGCTCATCCGACATGTACGGCTTCTCTCATGATCAACAATCCGGTTTCGATGACAGCCTGTCAATGGACATGTACTCGAAGCATCAAGTCAACTTCGTCCCTCATGATACCCCTACCTTTGAACTCCCCATGCATGGCCTGTCCCACCCTTCACCTGGAATGGGTGACTATAAAGATTACGCTCATGACATTACCAACCTGGATGAAATCAACTCGCAGGGCTTGCCTACTTCATGAGTTATCAACCATGAACTGTTAGCCAGTCTTCTCTTTTGTCAATTGATGTTTCACGGCTTTTTCTGGAGTGCATGCGGCGCTTATGCTGGGGTTTGGATTTGGGTTTGGGTTTCTTCTCGTTCGTCCGAGTCTCGATGTTTGGCAACAACTCAAGACTCGCATGACTCGATTTTCCGTCTCGCTGGCGATGGCTCGGCGACATGGGTTTTGGTTTTTCTTCTTGCGTGGCATACTCTTGTGTCTTGTATTAATACCCTTTTCTTTCTGGGGCCGGTCCTGAAGCGTTTTTTTCTTTTTCTTTTTTCCATTTCCTTCCATTCAACTTTTCAACTGTTTTCCCGGCTGCTCCGGTTGAATCCAGTCTTCTTTTCACCCGGTCAATTTTACCCTTTTTTCACTTTTTGATTTCTCTTCTTCTTCATGATATATTGACCGGGATTTTTGAATTCTCTTACGTGGTTATGCCAAACAGACCGACTTGGACTGCGACTCCATTCCCCTCCATTTTCTTTTTCTGTTATTTTTTCCCTTTGTCCGAGGGCATATTTATGCCCCTCTTGGTTTTGTGGTCCCAATGGTCATTCTTCTTGGAGTCAGTTTTGCACAGCGGCCCCTTCGGCGCCTGTTTGGGTCCGACAAGCCAGCGCAGAGTTGTGATATCTTCTGCGCGTTTGGTGGTACACGATATTGGGGGGATTTTCCCTACGCTCTGAATCAATCCATTTTGTATCGCATTGCCTTTCCAGTAGAATGTAGACATGTCGATATTCTATTAACAATTGGGGTATCTTATTCGTATATTACAATCAAGCCTTCTCCCATCCTTTCGGCGAAGGGGCATCAACTCCTCTGTTTCGAAGGAATCTCTCGATCCAAACTTCCATCTTTTCCAAGACATTACGCTCGGGCTTGCCCTCCTCCCCAATATCAAACACTCCCTCCTTGCACCAAACACTCCATGAGCCCATCATCCCCGCCATAAGCACATCCGTTCCTAGTCGATCACCCACAACCGCAATCTCATGCGATGACTCAACTACACCCCGTTCCTTGAACCATGCCACAACTTCCTGGCCACAAAAAGGCTTCTTTTCCGTGCCAGGTGGAAGTCGGAAAACAGGTATCTGCAGATGCGCAAGCTGTGCTTCTAGATCGCGCACTTCATTGTCAAAGGTGCTGTGGCTTCCGGCGCGATTTGACACGATAAGGATTGAGTTTGGATTTGTGGAGGCTTGGAATGGGGATGTCGTGCTGGTACGGAGTGCAGATAGCTTTGCTAGGATATTGGGTGGGAATGTCGTTGTCTTTGCGGCGCAGAGGGTATTGTCCTTGTCGAGGACCAGAGCTCGAATGGAGGGCGTACGTTGCTGCAGATTCTTTTTGGGAATAAGATGCGGGCCTAGGTTCTCCGGGAGGTGTGCAAATGTTGGAATAGTGAGGTGAGGGAGGAATTGGGACGGTTGCTTGAGAAGGGTTTGGACAGCGTAGTTGAAGCCCCTTAGGTTGGAATTGGGAGATCCAGCCATGATTTATATGTGCTGAGGGCTGTCGGAAAGGCTCTGAATGAGTATTGGCTATTGGAAGTGCATTCCGTGGGAGTGGTGGTGAAGTCGGAGGTTGGAGGGCGTTTGGTGAGGACTCAAAGCGGAAAGGATGTTGGCTGCAAAACTCACCTCTCTCTGCACCTCTCTACCCATCCCACCATCCACCACCACTTGACTTGATCCTTTCCCTTGTTGTTGCTCGGGATTGTTTCTTTGCATCTGTTTCTATTCTCCCGGCCCTTATTGATTTTCTTATCGCCCTCACAGACTCGTCAAAATGGGCAAGCTCACCTCCACCATCGGTATTCCGATTAAGCTCCTCAACGAAGCGCAGGTGCGTTACCTCCCCTCGAGACAATGCTCCGACTATTGAATGTGTCGCACTGATGCGATGCATCCCTCTACCGGGCGACCTGCTCTAAAGCGCGACATGGAACAAGCTAACCTCGTTCCATTAGGGCCATGTCGTGACTCTCGAAATCACATCCGGTGTCGTCTACCGGGGGAAGCTATTGGAAGGTGCGTGCTGGAATTCGCCGTGATAACGTCCCAATGGACATCGATCCAGAATACTATGGGGTTGTTAGTCCGCAGAACCATGCTGACATTCATTTCCAGCCGAGGACAACATGAACGTTCAGCTCAAGGATATCACTGTCACCGCCCGCGACGGCCGTGTCTCCCATCTCGACCAGGTCTACATCCGCGGCAGCCACGTGCGATTCTTCATTGTCCCTGACATGCTCCGGTACGTCCCTATTCCCGATCCCATGCTTGCTCCACGATGCACGCATTGCAGGCGCTCCACGAGAACCATTTCTGACACATTTCTTTCTCCAGTAATGCTCCCATGTTCCGTTCACGAGGCCAGCGCGGGCGCGGTGTCGGTTTGGCGCGTGGTAAGGCCACTGTGCAGCGTGCGCGTGGCCAGCGCGGCCGGGGTTAAATGTGAGAGAAATCACAGTTATAAGGCCTCGCGGACTCAGAGTGGTTGGCGTTCTTCTTTTGTGTTTTCTTTGGTCAGGGTAAATCTATAGGCTTGGTCTTTGCCGAGTTAAAATGTTGGCTTTTGAACGAAGCTCTTCTCACCATTCAATTCAATCATGAATCAATACCCGGCATATGATGGCTTATATGGAGCTGCAGCTCTACCTGCGCGGCTTTGGGACAACGGTAGATATGAGACTAGGCCTCGTCTGTCTGGACTTAGCACCCAGATCGCGCTCTTGCAGCATACAGCATCCTGAGAAGTTTCACGAAATGGCTGTAATTTATTTTGTTATACCTTAGGGATCAGGTGCTGAGTAAGTACTGTAGAAGACAACTTGAAAACAATCGTCATGGATAAAGTGGGTGTATCAAATTATCCGCCTTTTTCGGTGCGGGGAGCAACTTTCCGCTTCACAGGCCTGCCCACGAACCAACACATACCGAGTTTTCCCCAGATCAGAACGCAATTGCACAATCCAAGCGTCCATTACCCACCCGAGGCTCAAAAACGATGACCTCTCCAGCCCCAGGCAATCCCGCAGCGAGCGCAACGCCCAAAGCCAAAAACATCCCCAACCCTCGACGCCTCCTAATCCTCGCACCAACAACCCAATCCCACTCGATCATCCCACCTCTCCTTAACTCCTTAACCGGTGTTCCTGTCACAAACCCACCGCAATCAGCAGATCAACCCTCCGAAACCACCTTCGCAGGCTACACCACACATAGTCCTCTTCGCCTCGAAACAAAATACTACAACACCGAAGTCCCAGTCTGGGTCGATGAGATCCCTCTATCTGATACAAAAGAGCAATGGAAAACAGACTTCCTGAGCGAAGAAGCTGAGATCGTCCGCGAGGCTGTTGGCGCATTGGTCGTTTGCGCGAATGCGCCGGAGAGTAGTCCTCCGGATCTAAGTGGTGATAGTGATACAGCTGAGCGTGAGGATGTGCGCGCATTGCTTAATGTTATGCGCGGCATTGCCGCTGTTAAAGAGAAGATTGATGAGGAGCGTGGGAGTGTTGGGGATGTTCCTGGGGTATTGGTGTTAGTTGGGGCGAGAAAAGTTCCTGCGTCAGCGGGGGTGAAAGCCTCTGGTTCGCATGAACAGGAGATTGGAGGTGATTTGGGTGATGATCTTGGGGATGTGGTGCCGTTGTCGGTTGGGTGGTGGGAGGATCAGTTCTTTGATATGGGGTTGCTGGGGTGGGAGGTTATTGAGTGGGATCCCAAGGAGGGGGGTGAAGAGACGAGGAATCAATATGGAGGTGAGCTTTTCGGTTTCCGGTTCCTTGTGCTGGATTCTTGCTAATGTCATTAGAACGGGAGGGGATGCCGAGGATCAAGGAAGTTCTTGAAACGCATGATTGGTCTATGACCAGTGCTGGAGTCGAGGATGATGCAGACTCTGAGGATGGCCTTGAAGATCAACTGTTGGGCATGGGTAGCTCCCGTGGGTTTGGGAATGAGGTTCATGAGCTTGAGCGTGAGATGTTTGGTCTGCGAATGGCAATTGAGCGTGGTGGCGGTGATGGCGACGAGGACGAGGATGGACATGATGATGACGACAAAGAGATCGATGTTGAAACTATGGAGTCGCTGATGATGCGCATGCAGGCAATTAAAGGTATGTTTTTTGCCAGACTTCCTTCGTGACTATACTGACCTGGGCATAGATATGGGCTCTGACCTGCCAGAGGCCGAGCGCAAGCGATTCGCTGCCAAGGCTGTACAGGATATCATGCGAGAACTATGAAACGATTATTGGTTGCTCTATGATATCAAACTTTAGCGACACGTCAAAACTCAATGTAATCGGAGTCAAGTGTATGGACAACGCAACGTATGTTGCGGGACAATTAAACCACGTCTATCTACCGTTAATGTAGCAATAAGATAAAGCGAATTATTAAACATGAACAAGTACGTTCAAAATTCGACTCCAGTTTTGATGAGCCATGCAGGCTTTGACGCCTGAACCCCTGGCGACTTCAAGCACCATCGCCAACCTCGTGCATTGCGCGTCTAATCCGCGCGCTTCTTGCCACGCAGAACCTTGCGTCGCTGAGCAATCATGTGTGTGTACAGGATGTAAGAGCCTAGCAAGTCAGCAATGACCCAGCGAACCATCATGTTTCGAAGACATACCAGGAACATAGATCACCAGAATAGCAATAAGCGCGTATTGGAACAATGGGTCCAACTCAGCAGCAGGGCCGAGGGCCTGAACAATCAGGGTGCACTCGCTTGTAATACCAATCGGGTAGAGGATGTAGAAAGTATTGTACCTGCAAAAGTCAGCAACCGAGCTCCCCTCAACAGTGGAAAACACCAACCGCAACCAAGTCCACCAGCTGGGCACCGAATTGCCCGACAAAGTAATAGCAAAGAACCCGTAGCGAATGACCTCCGTGATGCCCCACGCAGCAACACAGCCCAAATAAGCATAATCGCCCAGCTGGGTCGATCGTGCACCAACAATCTGGCCTCCGAATTGAGCCATGATACCCCAAACAAGCAACAACCGACTAGCCACTTGCATGGCGGTTGTCATGAATGGTGCGCGCACCAGTCCGATGATGCTGTGCACGACTTCCAGCAGTGCGAGCGACTGCGTCGCGAGCAGCGGCGAGAATGTCCATTTGAAGACATTGGGTAGATTATCGATGTTGGCTGGGAGGAGAGAGGCGGCATAGACGACGCAACCACCCCAGGCGAGGAGGTTGAGGGTGTTATACGTGAAGAGGTAGGCTCTTGTGATGCCGGCGGGGCCACGGGATGCCGATTTGGATGCCATCTGTGCTGGAGGGGGTTTGTGGAGCTTCCAAGAGGAATTGGCAATGGCTGGATGAACGCAAAACCGTGCGAATTCGTTGGGCGCATCAACATTTAGATGGGACCGAGGTTGAGTTTTACGTAAGCATTCTGGAAGGCCCCGGGGGCCAATCGAACCGTTTTGATCAGAGTCTGGGGTATTGATGATCTTGTTTCTTTCTCCAGTTCGTTGTGATCTACATCTAGTGTCTGACCATGGGCTCTGGACCCCTGGGTTACTTTGGGGATGTTTGGAGAGGGGAGTTTGACTCTTTGGATCAAACACTCCTATCCCCCTGCGTGCAAGCAATGTCATGATGTGTACCAAATATGACCCGTGGCAGGGGCATCGGGTCCGAGTCACTATTCATACTGCAAGCCTCTGTTGTGTCGATAATCCCTGCCGAGCAAATCTGGGTATGATTCGCTCGACTGCGGGCTAGCAATCTAGTGATTGCTCGTGGCGGCCAAGCGGAATGCTTCCTGTGCATGTATTCTTGGCTGTTTAGATGCAACGCCAGTACACCGTAAACAGACTAGGTAACCCCATGATGCCACTGCATGATCCCGTCTGGACTGAGAGTCTGCGATCTCGTAATGTTCAGCACACATGTGCTTGCTCGGAACGTGACTGGTCGATGTCGTTGAAAGGTGGGTAGATGTAATCCGTACTCGAGATGAGCCATTGGCTCACTGCTGAATGTGAGCCGATTCGCATTGAATCGTCTTCGGGGGGATTGGTCTGGAGCACAGCCAGCCTTCACCCCATGCAACTGGAGGTGGTACTTGGTATCCTTGTTGATCTTTCGGCATGAATCTCTCAGGCTTCTGCACGCTTTAACTGCCCGATGAGAAAGCCTAATTGGATTCAACATAGATGCCAGTCTGATCTTTCAGAGCATAGTGGACGAAGTGCCAGTACTAGGTAGGCAGATCCCAGTGAGTACTAGTAGTGTGTCAAGACGTCTGAGCAGACATGGTCTTATGCCCTGGAAGCCATGAACAAAGTCAAGATATGTCCATCTGCACGACTCTATGTACATACGAGTGATATCGTATTAAATGAATGTTACGGTAATTACGTTACACAGGGGCCGATGACATCAGAGGCTGGGAGGGCTGAACGGGGATCCATCATCGTGATGTCATGGCAACACCCTCGGACGCTGATTGGTGGACCGTCAACTGTGACGACGACCGCCAAAAAGGAGGACACGAAAGATGCACAAATGTCCCCAGTCTTGCTATATAAACCAAAGTTGGCTGCATCGCGCGGACCTTGACAGATCACCACACGACTTTTCGAACGCGTCTGATATAAACAGAAGTCAGGGCACCAGCTTTTCGAAATGACAATAACCACCCGTCATCGGTGACAGCATACCCGCTGTCTTATACCAATATTACACCATTCGGCTCCCTCGCGAAAAAAAAAAGGAAAAAAACACAAAAACACAAAAAAAGAAAAGAGAAAAAAGGAGCCGTGGAGCCACAGACCAGGTCACTCCCACCATGTCAGAGCATTACCTGCGACAAAAAGGAAGTATTCCGAGTTGGACACGGTCCTCGAGGGTCCAGACCAACTGGATCAGGCCCTCGCTGCGCACTTTGCCCAAGACAAGTGCTTTTCCCTGCTCCGGTTTCATTACGTCGTTTTCCCCTCTCTGTGCGATCAACCGCTTGCGATGGCTTGGACAGTAGGATTTCCTCTTTTTAGCTGGGATGGGCCCACGGGTTTATCCATTCGCAGCAAAACCCTCACTGGGTTCACCAACAGCCCAAGGGGTTCCGACGGTCCCACGCGTGACAGTGTTCGGGTATGCAATGACGTTCGTTGCTGAGATCGGCGCCCCGATGATGTCGACTTGCTGGCCGGCCGCTGCCAGATCTCCAGCATTCCGATGGCCTAATGCGGACAGAAAACGTGTCGGTATTTTTTTTAATTACCTTATCCGTCCCCACTCATGTACAGTACTTTGCTGGTACTGCTACAGGTCGAGGGGTTATGCCGATGAATTTTGCGTCTTTTCCTTCCGGTGGAGTTGTCGGCTGCCAACACGCTGCTCCACTGGATGCTCGTTTCTTCATGAACGCTCTCCGGGAGTTCAATGGTCTCAGCGCTCTGTGAGGCTGAAAATCATGACCCAAGACAGCTGACTGCTCATCTACTCTACACAGGCTAACATAGTTCGGTGGGAGGCGGGAGAGAAACCGTTCCTCCGGTGTTTGACTGCACCCTCGGACGCTAAACAGAATCTGGAAACAATAAGATACATTACGGAGTACCATCTTTCGAGATCCAAGCCCAATAGGATCTCGTGATATAGATTGTTGCTAGTAATATCGTGCAATAAACCCCTTCCGACAGGCGCCAAGAACATCAAATTTAAACAGGACAAAAATGAGAATGTGTATAGACATGATTCATATCAGATAGACTTTTTGATATTTAAGGGTGGTGTCGGTTTATAATTTTCATATAGCGGAAGCCCCAAGTGTGAGTGCCGATAATCTTCCACTTCTCTCCGCCCCTCTTCCTCTTCTCCCCCCTCTTAACCTTCACCCACCCCTTTCTCCTTCATCTTTCTCTTCTCTCCCCTTTGAGTTTTCTTACTCCGGATTTTCCTTTGGTCGTCATATTCCGGACTTAGTGATCTCGGTTCCTCGAGAGGAAGAAAAAAAAAAAAGTCAAAAGGTGGGATGAATATTTCTGTGCCCCTCGCTGCTCGAACCTTTCGCGATTGATGCCCCTCACCGGTTGCTCTTGCTTTGACTCTTGCCTTCTGTCTCTTTGCCTTGTACAAACGACTCGACTCTGCAGCTGTTGCCATACGCAGGTCTTGGCTTGTCAAGGCTGTGGCTGGATCATATGTGCTGCATGGTCCATACCCCCCCACTCCAATCAACCCTGATCCTTCCCCCATTGCACCTGACCCCGTGGCTACGTGACTTGCCTGATAGTCCTGATGTCCAGCCTGTCTCTGTCAGGCTCTCGTCAGAAGGTTTGATCTGGTGATTGCCGTACTTGAGGCAGGAGTTTCTCCCCCGACCTCCCCCAACAACCTTGGTACCTGGTTCCGTAACACCCTGGCTTGTAAGACGACTGCACTGCGTGCTGTGTCCTGTTATCCACAGCTCTGACGTCCTTGTTGTATCATCGATCTTATTTGCTTGACAATTGATTTTTGCCACTTGCCCATATTCGCCCAAGAACTGCGCCTACTGAATGAAGTCAGACTGACTGGGATTTACAAACAGAGATCTCCGCGCATTCCATCCGGATTGACAGGGTTATCAGATCGGTCCAGAATTACCATATCTCACCCGTGATCTGCGTGCAGATTGCTCCCTTGACAACACCTCCCACACATCCACACACATACACCATGGCGCCAGCCGAGACCAAAAAGGCCGATTCGGTAAGTCCCGTTTAAATCGATTACGAACATGTATTTGACAATGTACGCCTAGGGCCCCCCCAAGCTTTCCGATTACAACACAATCCTCGACGAGAGCACATTTGAGCAGATCCTTGAGATGGACGATGATGACGAGGACCGGGATTTCAGCAAGAGCATCGTTTACGGTTTCTTCGATCAGGCTGAGAACACTTTTAAGAAGATCCAGAAGGAAATGTGAGTCTGGCCCTCCAGGCGCGTCCGATGACGTATGCTAAGCCAAATCAGAGATGACAAGAACCTCAACGAACTTTCTGCCCTCGGTCACTTCCTCAAGGGCTCATCTGCCACACTGGGCTTGATCAAGGTCAAGGACGGTTGCGAGAAGATCCAGCATTTCGGCGCTGGCAAGGACGAGACAGGTGCCGTCGACGAACCCGATAAAGAGGTTTCCCTGAAGGCCATCAAAAAGACCCTCGACGAAGTTGTGGTCGCCTACCGCAAGGTCGAGAAGCTCCTTCGCCGATACTACGGCGAGGAAGTGCCAGAGGAGAAGGAGGAGCCCGCAGAGAAGCCCGCAGAGAAGCCCGCAGAGAAGGAAGAGAAGACGGAAGAGAAGCCTGCAGTGAAAGAAGATCCCAAGGACACCAAAGAGACCACGGAGCCCAAGGAAACTAAGGAGACCAAGGACTCCGCTGAGTCCAAGCAGTCCAAGGAGCCGGAGGCCAAGGAAGCCTCGAAGTAGTGGCTCATGCGGGACATTTGATACCCTGCCACCCTCCCTTTATTCTTTTTAGCGACGGATGGAGCATGGCAAATGGCTGTTTCTTTTCCCCTCTTTCTTTTACCCCCCACCCCCTCCTTTCAACCCCATGGCTTTGACGTACATATCACCCCCTCATGTCGGGGAAACGGGAAAAACGGATGTTCCTGGTCTCTCACGTAGGTGCAGGCACGAGAATCGTGAAGATTCCGAGGAGTCATGGACAACAACGAGATGCGGAAATCCGAGTATCTTGTCAATCCCCCCTTTGATTTGCGGCTTCTATGCATTTCACCGGTAGTCGCATCAATGAATCACAGATATCGATATCAAGATCGACAGTAGCGCAAATTCACGGATTCCAGAAGCCCCGGCTGTTTTCAAGAAGAGGCTGAGAGATAAGCATTAGTCCACTGCCTCTTAATGCCTGGGGTCTTTTCATGTGTTAATTAATCCTGCATATGGTAAGGTGGCGTCCCTGAAAAGAAGCTTCTTTCAGCCACTTGCGTGGGCCTGGGGTCCCCGGGCAACCTAGACCTTATTTGATCCTGGTCCCGATTCGGGTGTGATTCTCGACCTAATCGTGGATGACCGTTCTGCGATCGATCGATCGGCGGCTTATTGATTGGTGCGCTATGACGGTCGTTAGAGCCCGAAATATGCTCTGCTGAAAATGCCCTCACCCTTCCTTTGCCGTTATTGGGTGTCGGTGGGAAGGCTTCCTGTGCTATAATTCCGTTCCATATAGATCTGGACTCTTTGACTGTTCTTGATCTTTCACATGGTGTGTTGCCGTCCATGTCTGCATCCACCGTTGCAAAGTCGATAGCAAGCTGTAAACGGCTGTCGGCGACTTGCAGTATAGGCGGGGAGGGGGCACCCATGCCGGTCGATGTGTTTTAGAGCCGAGCTTCTGTTGCGTTTATTATCGGGAATATTAGGGCTACCATGTTCCAATCACTTCGTACATCGTTCAGAAGTCGTCATTCCAAGGTCTCTTCCAGTGCGTCCATGTCAGCATGCCGATATCCCAATCCTGCAGATCTTGCTACCAACGTTGTGTATGCAAGTTTACGGCGGAACTATGCAGCCTTTGGTCCAGTTTAATTTACCAATTCATATCGTCTTTGTTAGCTCTCACCTCGACTTGAGTACACCGAACATTGGGATTTATCTAGATAGCGTTCAAGATTGGCAATGGATAAATCTACTGCCTACGTGCCCTTCGAGCAATTCGACATGGGGGACTCGAGACTAAGTCGATCTATATCTTTTCCATTCACACCCTCTACTTGAGACCGCATCTGAACGCCAATAGACAAGATTTCGGTCTATATCAGCAATTTTGCAATCCATGTTGGGCCATCAAGGCCGAGGATCGTTGCACAGCTCCAATTTAGTATCTTGTGAAATTGAAACTCCGGGGTCTAGATCCGTCACTGCCACGTTCTATAGCCTGTGAAAGAACAGTGGTGTGTACTTCAATGAGATTGTCGCTACCAGTAACTACATGAACTTGGGCATCTGGAGGCTTCGTCAATGTTCCTTCTTGACCGGAAGTCTCCAAAGAAGGTTTAGCTTCACCTGTCCAGATGGGCACTGCTTTAGTTAGATGCCCTTGTCTCTCATTGTTACTAGAGCTATTCACGGGTTACTGGAATTATCCCATCGCCTATCATTATTTATCTCCGGTGTGTGGATTTGCCATCAATCTGGAATCTGCTTTGAGTACTCGGCTCTCGAGTTCGAGTCACCAACCGAGGCCTGGTGGCCTAGTGGTATGATACGCGCTTGTATGTCCTGCCACCCCTTCCACCTAAGAAATTATGCTAATGCTCCCAGGCGGAGACAAAAAAACTCCAGATCCCTAAAGGGGTCTTCTGTGCGTGGCCCCGGGTCTTTCTTTCTCCTTCATTTTCTGGGTCACGGTACGGAGTAGTTAGGATCTGTTAAAAGTACTATATTACCCTTTAGGGGGCTGTTTCTTATATTGAACCACTTCATATATCACTCACTATATTCTATAATTTCTATTTTAGAAGCCTCGTTCTTATGTTACCAACGATGTGCTAATGTCCTACTTCAGTCAACTTCCAACCTCTTTGTTTTTCTGCAACCCAACAGTCAGATTTGAAGGAGCTTCTTTGCAAGACAAGTCTTGTCTCGGTCCTTCGGTCTGTCGAATTCGCTTTATTGTATTTTGGACCAGATTCCGATCTGACGGGTCACACGGCATAACCAACGGACCTTGTTCATCGACGTCTCCGCATTTCCGCCAGCCGACGCGAAGATGCAGATGCCCTAGGCTTCCTATCTTTTCTCCCGTTGACAGGGGGGTAACTCAGGTGTACCCATGCAGAGCAGGTCTGAGCCTCGATACCGAGTTCGTCATGCAGTTTGACCGGTTTTCTCCACAGTTGGCTGCAGACGCACATCCTCGAAGCTGCAGCTTCCCACATTGGCGCATAGATTGCTCCATACACTGAAGCTGTTAATATATCCTGTGCGGGTATGCACAGGTGTTTGGAAAGGAGGCCGGAGTCGTGATTCCCGTAAATTCTTGGCTGGGCTCTTCAGCCTTGGAACCGATCTTGGATGCGCGGAGTACATAGGCTTCGATGACACCTCTTTGCTATGCATGCAAGCATACATATATCTCCTACCCGTCTGTCTCGGATAGCAGACACAGTCTCAGAAGTATCCTCGATGTACCAGCACGCACCTCGTCGCGCTCAGTCCTCGAGCTCACTCTTGGAGTGCCCATGGGCTATGTTTGCCAGTCAGAGTTATTCCTAGGATTTGCCCGGTTCGACTTGTCACAAATTGCGACACGCCTAAGCTTTCGGAAATAGGGATAGCAGGCGGGTAAAAAGCAAAGGAAAGACGGTTCGTTGCCGTCGTTCAAAATCCTACCCCAATCTGTTCGCTTTCAATGCAAACCGTGTCTCGTTTGTCGGATTGAAGCTTTCCCGATGCTGATACCCCGGACTCGTTAGAATGTTGTCTTGCCCCATAACTTGTTCACGGCAGGAGTACAATCCCACTGAGCGATCCGGCCCGCGGTTTGACGTAGTCCGGGGTTGTAGCTCAACGGGTATGCAGTGATCGGACACAGACTGTGTCACTTCGACTCCGGGTTCTGCACGGCGCACGGTAGCGTTTAATGCTGGCGATATCTCTGTAAGCGCCAGCAAAGAGATAGAGAGAATAGCGTCTCCCATTCGTGCCCTCTTTGCTTCTCTTAAACAGGCTTGCATGCGAACGCGGTGATGAGTCGAACGAGAATGTGAAGCCTCGAGAACTTCCTTGGACCCCTGCTCTCTGTCCCCCTTGTGTTATCCTGTCTCCATCTATCTGATTGCGGTTTGCTCCATACCCCCCGCTTGTCTGATTGCCTCTGTCTCTCCTTTAGCTTTTCTTTTTTGTTTTTGTTTCTGTCTGTGTCTCTCATCCGTTCGCTGGCCCTGCTCCGTTCCGGGCTCCCTCTGATTGCATCGGCCTTGCGGCTTCGACGTCGTGTAGCAAATGTGGCTAATGGCCGTTGGGAGTGTATCCGCACCGTTGAGATTTGTTTGAATGGGCTCAAGTCTTATAAAGTCAGCCTCGGCGTCGGGGTTCGAGTGTAGTTCTTCAGATCAGCCTTGCTTTCACCTTGAGAGTCAACTAGTAACACCGACCACACCAGCGCGTTTCTACTCTCGATTCCGGGATTCTTGCAATTTTATACAATCTTACTTGAATCAGTACTTCTGCTCTGCTCTGCAACCAATCGACAGCGAACACTCGATACTCCACCTTGCATTTTTCTCTCATCCTACACCAATTGAGTATACAACCTACTTCGCCCAGGAAACAAAACACCGCCACCATGCCCGTCGGACCTCGAGTTTCCAAGGAGGAATTCATGCACGCCTTGGGTCTAAACCCCCAAGATCCCCATCATGAACAATATTACCGCGCTATGCGGGTAAGCAACCGAACCCTGTCCTCCGGCCTTGAGCCCTAGTCTAACAGTCCCAGGACGAAGCAATCATGGTCTACAACCGCCTGAACCAGGACAACTCAAGCCTTCTCGACAACATTCGCGCCGACCCAGCGACCCGCCCTCCATTCTTCTGGCACCACATCCGACCAGATCGTCAGCGTTGGGCGATTTTAGAAATCTGGCGCAACGCCGCACCCCTGACACGTGCGCTTTTCGACCTTGGCGCCACAAATGGCGAGTATGGTCCGAATTGGGTGTCTGGGTGGTTGCTGTACAGTGTCTTTCGCTCGCGGGATGTGAGGAATAATCGCAATCGAAGGAAGGGAGAGACTGGTACTTCTGCGACGTCGGAACCAGGTATGTGTCCCATGTGTCTGGTTGCTGTTGCAGAGAGAACAGTGCTAATGACAGTCCAGATAAGCAACAGACGGGACAATCGAGGGGATACTATGATCCCGTGCGAAATGGGACGGTATGATATGTTGTCCTGTGATTTATTTAGTTGGAAGCCTGTTTTTATTTTTTCATGTTCGGTTTGTAACATCTGCGTTGTTGCAAAGTGGCCCGAAATATGTGACAAGGATCATGGACTTTGGAGGCCAAGGTCCGAGAATGTAATGTAATACACAAAATGTAAAAAAGCAGACGCTATTGATGCCCATAAACAATCAAACAAGTAGAAAGTAGTATGCTCAAGACTAATCAGACTTGCCATCCTGATCATCAGAATCTTTCTTTTCTTTCTTTTCTCGGTTTTCCGACTTGAGAACCTTTGTGACACGTTGGTCATGCTCGTCGGCTCTCTCATCCCATTCGGCATCATACTCGGCGGCAATATTCTTGATCTCCCGGCGGAGCGATTTACCCTCGTCAATGAGAGACTCCCAAAGTTGCAGATCAATCTTGTGCTGGTTGTACAACTTCTTCTGTCTAGCACTGATGGTGAAGTCAAGCGCAGACTTATAGGAAATCTCTCGGTTGTGATACAAAAACCACAGATAACCTCCCATCAGCGTTGACAAACTGACGAGATAAGTCACGGGCTCCATAGTATCCCATCCAAGGGAAGTCTCGAATGTCAACCGGTAGACCGTGAGCCACCAAACAGCCAAAATTCCGAATCCACCCATTGCAACACGCTGCGCGCCGCGATGCGCAAGTGCATCACATCGTTCCTTGACATTCGCCATTGTCTGAATGCGGCGCGCGAGCTTGCGTAGCCGCATGCGCAGGTAGTAGGTGCGTTCGTTGAAAGAAGGTACCGCAACTCGAATCTGTCCTAGGCCCTCTGGTGCACCTTCGATGGTGACAATGAATTCGCCGGCCCGCGCAGCATCTCGAATAAAGTCCCCGACCTCGGTAGCTTGGGACCAGCGGACGAAACGTTCGGGTTCGCCGTCGGGAATATCGTCAGAACTGGGCACACGTGGATAGCTGATCGTCTCCGCGTCCTCTTCGCGTGATCGTTTGCGCTGGATCGGCCGGCTGCCTTTTGGCCTACTGCCGCCGACGCCGTCGTTGCCGGGGACATAATCCTGGTCCTTGTTGTTTTGGTGGGCATCCACGTCGACCTCATCTTCGATCTTCTTTTTGGGTTTGATGGCATTGTCCTCATGCTGCAGGGCAATGAAGGATACGGCAGGCGGGCGAAGCTTGTCGGTATGGCCAATGATTGGAGGTACTTCGGATTGAATCAATCTCTCCAAATATGATAGTGGTTGTTGAGGGTGGACTAGGATAGCTATGGGTTCAATTTCTATTTCCATTGTTAGTGCTGTGTTAGAATGGTTTCAGGTCACTTGCCTTTGTCCAGACCCTGGTTGGCAATTGTTGTTAATGGAACAATCAATTTGAAGAGTCGCGATGGTGTCGTCAACATTTTGCCTAATGCAGATTAGCAATCAATCCTAGAATATCACTGAGTGAAGTACCTTTTGTCATCCGCTCTGGCCATTTGTCTCCTTCCGCCAAGGAGTTCCTGTCCTTCGGATCTTCATGGAGCACTGTGTGTTGAGGACGGGCCTCTTGGTTTCCTTCCTGAACTTCAAATTTCTCCAACAGGTCCTCGGTCTTCTGGTTGTCGCCTGAGACCTGGGTGTGGTCTGCTCTGCTGAAGCTTCTGGTCTGCGAGCATCCAAAGTACTGGATGGGGACAGCGCATGCCGGTCTTGTGGCGGGTGACGATCCAGATACCTTGAACCCCGAACCAAGGTCCAAAGATCTTTGTGAGAGCGAACGAATGTGTCTGGATGTGGAAACGGGTGCCGCAGCCCACCGGTTTCGCCCCGAAAGGCCAAGTCTTCCTAGAGCGGAGGGAGCACCGCGGTGCGATATCATGCCCGTGGCGACCGACACGATGGGGGCACAATTTCGTGCCGGGAAATACATTGTGAAGACTAGATCTCTGGGGTTTCGAATTGACCTAGTGTGTTGCGCGTCGCATCGAAGGGCGACTGAGAAGGGAGTTGCGGGAGTCTGAATTTAGCTGGGGTTCATGACATGACGAAGAGGCGTTTCAATTTGGCTAGATGATTTAGGGCAAAGAGAACACAAGCAATGAGCTAGCGAGGATGATCCAGGCACGTAGCTCCCGAGGTCAAGTTGCCTGCCTTGGATTCCAGGAGTCTGACGTCATAGTATCGTCCCAACGGCACTTGAAGGCGGTGTGGCGCGGTGTGGCAGTGCATGATCTATACATGTGTCTGTCATTGGCTCATCGGTACCCTCGACAGAGAATAATTGGACGAGATGAACGGGGTACATGTGGGCTGTCGTGAAACGTAGGGGCCAGACCGTCTCGGGGCAACATCCACTCCGTAAAGTGAGTGGGGACAGACTACGTCGATTGCATACTCGTATGTATGTGAATCCTATGTTTAGATTTGATATTCCTGACTTCCAACCCGACAGACCTCACATTAGGCACCAATGTTAGCGGAATTTACATGTTCACTGCCTTGCGATGCTCCAAGCAGCGAAGCTCTACTCCGTACATGGTCAGTGCTACTGATACCCTCGAGCCAGCTTTCAACTTGTTACCCTCTGAAAATCACTATACTTTCGATTTTCATTCTGCTCCATCGGGCTTGTGCTCTTTGTCGGCACCTCCCTAGTCGAATCAATGGTCTTGGTCAATGACAGTAACACTGCGAGGGCGCTCAGGCGATCTTGGCCATCCAAAAGCCCCAGGCGCGGCTCTTTCTACAAGTGTTTGCGGATCCGGTTGGGGGTTTTCGAGTTTTCCAATTTGACGGATCATGAATGTAAAGATTGATTTTCGGATGCAGTTTATGATTTGCCGGCATATGAACGAGTTGACCATGTGGTCCATATCTAGGCCAGCAAGGCCACTACCGAGAGAGGTTGGGGGTTCACTGACAAAAGGTCTGGGGTCAATGGTATGTTATGGGAGATGTTTCCGACTCCGCGTATAGAGAGGGACCATATTTTGGGACTTCATCGAAGAACTCGGCCGGTTCCATCCACATTTGGGTGTGCAATATCGTCCATGCCCAGGTGGTCATTGAATGACAACTCCTGATCTCCGAGATTGATTTCGTGAAGGGTGAGAGCCAGCGTATTTGTACCGTACTGTCTCCAAGATTGAAGGAAGAAACGGAATCCGTGAGATGGCAGCTTCGCGTGTCCCCGGATATTGCCTCACCGCCTTATTTCGGACCCACTCTAGGCTTGGCGGAGAATCTAACCGCATTCGGCCGAAGTGGGAGAAGCATCAGACTCCCAAACTTCGACTTCCAACACTGTACAAGGTTATTCACGTTCAATTTTGCATTTGTCAGATATCCTACATCCATACGTCCCCGAGGTCGGGGACCTTTTTTCGATTAATCATAGGCCGGACCTTGTCAACATAAAAGGGTCGTTGTGCCATGAGAAGTTCCCTTTTTTATATATCCACTCACAGATACAATTTAACTTCAACCTGTCCTCAATCCATCCATCCCTGGAATCATACCCTGCATACCCTTGCCAATATGTCCGTCGCTGCTCAATCTTTCCGTGACATCCTTGGAGCTCCCCGCTCCTCGGCTTCCCCGCAGGACTCAACCCTCATCATCATCGACGCCCAGAACGAATATATCACAGGAGCCTTGAAGACCGAAAAGGTCTCCGAAACCCGCAAGTCTATCTTCAACCTCCTTGAGAAATACCGCCAGGGCGGAAACGGCAAGAACATTGTGCACGTTGTCCACGAGGTCCCCGAGGGCGCGCCCGTCTTCACGCCTAACACCACGCTGGCACAAGAATTCGAAGAGCTCACCCCCAAAGCGGGCGAGAAGGTTGTGACCAAGCACTTCCCCAACTCTTTTGCAAAGACCGATCTCCACGAATACTTGCAAGGTCTGGGAGATGTCGGAAAGAAGGTCGTCTTGGTTGGCTACATGGCGCATGTCTGTATCTCTACCACTACACGTGCGGCCGCAGAGCTTGGATATGACCCCATTGTTGTGAAGGAGGCGGTGGGTGATCGCAACATTCCCGGTGCCGATGCTGAGACTTTGGTGTCGGTTGCGCTGGCCGAGTTGGCAGACGCTTTTGCGACCGTCGCTTCTAAGAAGGAGATTGGCGCATAGATCTTTGGTTGTATCTATGAATTCCCTGACTGATATTGTTGCGTCCAAGAATGGAACTATTATCGATGCCCAAGCAATAATACCTACATCCTACAGCGGCTGTGTTCTACGCCTAGATGGGTATTCCGAACCACGATACCCTGGTGAATACCTAGGTAGAGCAAGTGGCAACCTTGAAACTTGAGGATGCTCAAGTGAGATGGAGCGAGATACCTGGTTCTTTGTATTTGTTAACAGTGAGCTGGCAACCTACCACCAGGATTTTTTTTTCCCTTCCTTTTCATTCGTTTTTGGCGCTTGGAAACACCCTCCGGAGTGCTTTACGATACCTTCCGCTCTTAGATGCTACCAGTCCTTGATAAGTGCAGCTAACCTGGCTCTAGGGAGCCTTTATACGACCAAGAGAGCGAAGAAAGTGACATGGGCTAGGAGAAACTCCAGCTCACACAAAGTACCATATAACGACATGGATGTGAGCTTGTCTTTTTAGCCCCCAAGCGGATGGAGAACCGAAGTGTCGCAATCCGCGCCATGCGATTGCGCAACAGGGCGCCAAGAACGCCGCCCTTGGCGCATGAATCACGACTCTTAGCATCGGACACCCCGGACATGGGGCGCAATGGTACATGTGACCTCACATGATCTGGCCAAGCTCTAGGGCTGGCCAATGTCTATCAGACAAAAGTCTGACTCGCATGATCATGATATGCGGTACTCCTACCAGGGAGGATGTGACCAAGACTCTTGGCGGAGCTATTCCATCGCACAAGCCGCGACCCTAACCCATGATACAGGCTGTAGGGTGAGATTGCTCCCCCCAAGCCTCTTGGCATGGGTCCGACGCGACCTGGTAAGCAGGAGGGAATGATTAGCAGCTCCTTGGCATCGGTCGATATTCTACAAAACTGGCCTTGGGTCGCCACAGCTGAGCTCTTTCCTCCGTCAACTTTTCAGCGACCTTCGCTTCCTCTCGAAATCTCAGCTTGCTCTATGAAGGCTCAAAGGTTCGCTGCTACCTTCCTAATCAGACCGGCTCCATTATGGTAATTGCCCCGTACTTGAGGAAGATCGGGCACTCCTTCGGCTCGACCAAAGCGGCACATTATCTGAGCAAAGTTGGGGGCTGGATTGCTCCTCCCCCCAACAAGTCAGAAGATGGGCGGGACCAGTGGCCATCTCGAGCAGCCTTCCTGCTAGCTGCTATGGGAGGCTGCGCCGGCCAAGGGAATTTATTGCGATATCCCTCGGTGGTCTACAACAATTACGGACTCCAATGGTTTATTCCATACCTGATAGCGGTGTTTGCCGTCGCCATCCCAGCTCTCATCCTCGAGATCTCGATCGGACAAGCCTATCGGGGCGGAACGGTGATCGCATTCAACAACATAAACAAACGGTTGAAAGGCGTGGGTCTCGGTCCCATCCTGGTCAGCTTCGTGGTAGTGCAATATTTCACTGTTAACCTGGCATGGATCATGAACTATTTCCGCAACTCTTTCACTAGCCCGCTGCCATGGGAAGGTAGAATCGAGGAGTTCTACATGGGCGATGTCGTTGCCAATATCGATCCTATTGTGGGAAACCTCACAGCCGGAAATGGTGCTGTCGCCAACTACACTGTTTACCCCGGTGTCAAGCTCATCGGCGAGACAGTAGGCTGGAGTGCCTTTATCTGGTTTCTGATTTGGGTCTCCATCTTCCGTGGAGTTGGGCTGACGGGTCGGGTCGTTTATTGGACAATGGGCCTGCCGATCGTCACAACTATCATCATCGTTGGTCGCGCCTGTTCGCTTGAAAACGCGCGCGAGGGCATCAGACTTTTATGGGCCACCTGGAGGAGCGACCAGCTAGCCTCCGGTACTGTCTGGCAGACAGCCGTTGGTCAGGTTTTCTTTTCGACTGGTATTGGATTTGGTTATTTCACCTCTTATGCATCGTACAACTCGAAACATTCGAATGCTGTTATGGATGCAATTCTCATCTGTGGGAGCAATATCCTCTTCGAAAACTTTGCCGCGTTTGCTGTTTTCGGTGTTGTGGGTTATCTCGGACGCTGGCCACAGGATGGAGAAAGATTAGGTGCCTTCGTGGTTGGTTTCCTGACACTTCCTGAGGCTGTCATCCATATGCCCGGGGCGAACTGGTGGGCAATCCTGTTGTTTTTCACCCTAGTCGTCCTCGGTTTCAGCTCTGCCTTTGTCATGCTTGACGCTGTGGCAACTCTGGCCGTCGATGCGGGTATGAAACTTTCAAGGCCACTCATTGTGACTGGCCTAACCCTCATATCTTTCCTCATGTGCTTGCCATACTGCACTCAGTTTGGATTCTATTTACTTGACGGAATAGATAGATGGATTAACAACGTCTGTCTCATATTCGTTGTCTGGTCAGAACTCGTTGGAGCTACCACAGTCTATCGTTGGCACGACGTGGTGAGCCAAACAGGACTTCCTTCCTTTGTTCTATACAACTTTGGATATTTTGGTGGCCAGATCATTGGAGTTGCCGTTGCACATGGTGTGTCTGATCCAGCAGCTGGCGCTGGCGCCGGCTTCGGACTCTATATTGTATGTTCGATTGCTTCTGCCTTGATTGCTACGACTCCAGCCATCAAAGCGTCCAGCTTCTGGGGTCGGAATCCAATCCTCAGCCGATTCTGGTACCTGGCTTTCTACTCCGTGAGTTTCCTTAATAGCTTACATGAACTCTGGCAACTAACATCTATAGGGTAATCAATTGAGGCGTGATCTCAATCTCGTGGTTGGTGGCAATGGTAACTGGAACATCCCGACATTCTGGCCTGTCCTGCTCCGTTATATCAGCGCACCAATCTTGGCTATTGTGTTTAGCTTTGCGTATCCGGAGTTCTACACCTTGCGGTATGACCCGATGATGATTTCGGGCTTTATTTTGGCCCACTTCTGTTTGCTCTTGATCCTGCTTGGCGTTGTCTTTCCACGGTATTACGATATCTTCATTCCGCCCCAGCGGAGAGCCGAAGGCACCGAAGCGACAATAGCCAACGAGCCCAAAGAGCAGGACTTCGTTCCAGAGACAGCAGTTCTTGATCATGAGTCTGGCATGCTCGCATCGAATTCTCAGGACAGTTCGAGGCCACATGCAGAGGTTTCAGCGACTCCAAAGCTATGATGCCCATATCTCTATTCTCATTCAGTTTGAATATAAAACGCTTCGCTCCCACTCTCTTTCCAAGTTGCTTGAATCGTGTGTCTTGAAGTCTTCTCTCGCACTGGTGACACATACCTAGTAGTGACCATCAAGCACTTGGACTTCGGCCGTAGTTTGTTGGCACAGAAATAGTAGCCGTTTCATTGTGGTGAAATTAACCTTGAAATCCAAATTTTAATATGTCATACTCTTTCTCTATTCTTTGAAAACTGTTGTACGCAGATAGAAAGAAGATTCTCATATTCCCAAGCGGTGGTAAATATAGTACAAAGACGCAAGTTTGGTCTCTTTGTAGCTCACTCTGAGAATAGCACCTTCCAAGTTTCAGCACATAACAAGCAATTAAAATGGAAGTCAATCACATATCCACGAATGGCCATTTGTATTTGAGATTGCCCAGGTGGTTCCTTCCTCGTCCTCGTTCAACAACTTCTCTAAACCCGTTGCTCCCTTGCGAAGATAGTCCACGGCCAAATCTCACAGATTATCCACACTTTCATTGCTATAATCCTTCTATATCTCTACTAATCGTCCGAAATGGCACACTGGGCACCGAGAGAATCTTCTCATGAAGTTACCATGACTCTACACGCAGATCCTAGACCTGTCTCTCAAGTCCAGCAACTGTCATACCTGTCATTCAACCCTCAATGCAACAGCAAAAACGAGGGCGGACAAGTCCTTCGCTATCCATACTCGAAAGACCAGGCGGCTTTTTATCCGAATCAGAAGCCCCGACCAAGATCAAATAGTATGGGTAAGTGAACACGAAGCTCAGTCTTCCTCTCACTACATAGAATGCCGAGGTTTCATTTGCCTCCACTTTCCCTACACTTCTCTGCTATAACCCATTCTCTCCGTTCCATGAGCTACAAGGTCTTTATCAAATGCTGATGCTAGATCTCACGCACTAGTGGCATATCAACTACCTCAAAGATACCAGCTTCCCATCCGTTCATATGATCCCACAAGCGGCATTCATCCTTGGATTATTATGGGTCCTCCAGACAGGCAGACGCACGAAGTTCCTCCAGAAAGGCAGTTGCACCCGGTAGAATATCAAATACCTCTTTTACCCTCAAAAAGGCGAGCAGTGCAGTCAGATTCATTCATCCCAGCAAACACAGATACAAGGCCGGATAATCCTCCCGTGAGGTTTACAGCAGTAATCTCCGAGGACACGGCTACTCTATGCGAACAACAGATATGGGAGAGTCCCAGCTTCTTTGAAGAGGCATATGAGGCCATCCTACTTGCTCGGGCGGCAATAGATTCATTCGAAGAGGATTTAGCAGCAAAGGAAGAGGGCTTCTGGAGTAACACTGAGTGCTAATGTGTCTTTGTTCACACAAAGACAGATCAATGGGGCTTGACATTTTCAGACGCTGCCTTCTATGCCTACCGATAATAGAGGAAGAGGTTGCTGACATTGCGCCCTTTGTTGAAATACAGCTGTCATAATCGATGGTACCGTGGAAATCCCTAAGCTACCGACTGTCTTCTGTTTTCTGCTTGGGCTTATGGACTCGACGATTCCTTTTCTTGTGGAGGCTTTTCGGACAGTATCAGAGTCTGTGACTCTTATTTGGACTTGACATTATGTTGTCTCAGACCCGACTGGGCTTTTTTTCCAAATGACCCAGGTGAAACTTTAAGGGAGATCTAGCAAAGCCTCGATCATCAAAACACTCCTCCGGGTACGGTATTGGCACCAGGTGATGGGGTCTCTCATCTGCTTTCAAATCCAGAGTCAAAGGATGATCACTTGAAAGAAATAAGCTACGCCAAACAGAGTCTAATCATAATCTTCCTTCACCTGGAAACACATGAAGCGCAAGGATGCGGAATGTGATTTCAAATCAAAACTTTTTTCTGATATTTTCCGTACAAATATTTTCACACGCTTGCCAACTTTGCCCACGGGTATGCAAATGTCTTGTAGCTTTAACAACTGAGCTCGGCACATGCGACTCGTTTCTTCGCTTCCTGCTCCATTTTTCTCAGGCATTGACGCATCAAGATGGCTCAATGGCTTAATTTAACATATAAAATACGGTCGCTAAGCTCTGCTGCACACAACCAAGACATTTAACACAAGCGCGGGGATTAATTCCCATTCCAGCATCTAATTATCACCAGGCCATATCCTCCAACAAATATTGCAGCTTTTCATCTATGAAAGAAGACATAGTCGTAAGAATCATAAATCATGAACCCATCTATCATTCCACCCCTAGAACCGAATGCCCACCTCCTCCCGCTCAACTCTCACAGCCCGGTCAGGACTACTTCCTCCACTCCAGCTTCCATTCGAGCTCCCCGAAGAAGCCGAATCATCGCACTTCCTTCCAGTTCCAATCGCAACTGGGATTCCCTGCACCACGCCGCCATGGTCATGCCCAGCCGGGTACATGCCGTCATTGACGGAAAAGTTGCGGCAAATGAGGTACGCGCGCATAGCGGCGCTCTCGCGAGCGAGTGTTTCGCTGCTACAAACTGAATCTGTTTGGTATTCGCGATTGTTGACGCGCACAATGCACGTGTAGCCGCCGGCATTGGGGAATGCGTTGTAAGATGGTTCGGGCCAGTTGCGGCGGCGGCAGAGGCCTGGAGGATCCAATTAGCTTGTGATTCCGGCTCTGGTTCTTTGTTTGGACTTTGGACTGGGGTTCTCGGGAAGTGAGGCGATGGGGTAGGGTGTTTGAGGTTGCATTGGCATATGGTGAGACTCACTGGTTAGGTAGAGGATATAGTACATGTTGGTCTGGACTGCGAGGCTGGAGACGCTACGGATGGAGCAACAAATGGCGTTGATTACTCGAGACGCATTGGACTGGCGTTCTGCGAGATAGACTAGGGCTGAGACGGGTGCAGTCTGAGATGCGGATATGCCCAACGGCTCCGCGTTTGCGTGTGCTGTTCAATTATGGGTTTGAGGATGTCCCGGGGTGTTTGGGGGGAAATCAGAGTATCTGGGTAGAGCGCGAGGTTAAAGGAGTGAGAGTTCCAGGATTAAAGAACAGATGCTCTATCTATACAAATGCATATATACCAATACCTCCGAGGGAAAAGGGTATTTAATTTCGGAGCAGCCATTGCCTCCATATACTAGACACACCAAGTTACGTTCCAACATCAATACCGTTCAAAGAGGTGGGGCTTCTGCATTGATACTCAAGTCATACTGGTACTGGGACAATTGCAATTGCGACAGCGCACAATGTTGTCAATGCAGACAGGCTGAAAGTCAAATTCGTGCAATTTGCCAACACATCGAGAAGGGTTACGGGTAAGCGATTCGCTCTTCGGTTCAAGAGTTTCGAAATTGAGCACCAGCAAAGGGTCATGACTGTTACAGGTTGCCTCCAAGTATACAGAACTGATCGTGGGCTGGTAACAAAGGACACAGGTAACAGTAACGGGTCCGTTTTTTCGGCGGGTTTGACTGATGCGCTGGCAAGCCCATTGCCAGTAGAATCAAACCGAGTTGAGACCGGGGTGAGGTGTCTCCTTTCTGCAATACGCCGATCTAATAAACATTTCGGAGACTATGCAGAGTCGAACCCGGGTGAAAGTGCTAAGCAGGACTGCCATCCCAGTTAGCTTCGCTCTGAATTCTATGCATTTGGTCTTCGTGCCCCGCAGACGTCAATTGCCGCGCAGTGGGTGCCAAGAAGCCATGTTGTGCAGAACGCGTCTGAGTCAATGGAGCGGGGCATCGGGTTGTGGATTGGGTTGAGTAGGGAGTGCCAAAGAGCCTAGGTTCAATTGAGGAATGCGAAAAGTTACCTAGACGCATTGATGAGTTGGCAGTGGGGAAGGCGTAGGATTTATCTATATTCCTGTGACGATGACCTTTCCCGTGTTGGGCCTCGTGCAGATCAGCAACCATCGAGGGGTATTCTTGATGGAAATTGAGCTTTGAGATCAATCTACTGTGCAGTGGTAGAAAAACGGTGAAGGTTGATACATCTGAGAATTAGCCGAGTAAGAATGTGCTATGACCTAGAACTCGGACTCCGACGTTTCACTCGCCTCCCCAGCCGCCCGATCCCTTACTTCTGTTCTTGTTGACATAGCTTCGCGTGGGTTTTGCCCATGTTATGATCGCGGGGCTTGCAGTAGACATCCAAGACAAGTCGTGCATAATGCGCTCGCTCGGAGCTCCTTGACAGCTCTCAATTTGCAGCTGTGGATGACTTCATGCTCTGTAGCGTTGTCCTTCGCCTTTTCACACGAGGGGGTGGGCCTGAGACCAGAGCCGCATTCTCTCTGCATCTTTGTGAGGGATGAGATACAAGGGGTGCAGTGGGGTTAGGCGATCCCTCTTGGTAAACACATTGTCCTCGGCGGGGCTTGGGGATGACTTCCAGGAAAAGGCAGATGAGAAACCATCTGACACGGCACTCGAATCAGTGCGATAGTGATGGGTTTGAGTCGTACTCAGCCCTGCAAGGACGTAGCAGGTGTGGTAGGAATCAACGTGTCTAAAATTTGTCAGACGAAAAATCCCAGCGCTCGAGAGCTACATGAAATACATACTTTCCCGGTTTATCACGGAGACCTCCATCGTTACCTTGGCAGCATGCAAGGATGTAGCGGGTGAGGCCCTCGCGGCTGAAAAGGCTGGAGGCTGGAGGCTCGGTGCTACTCGGCTTGCCATCTAGAGAGGACTCTAGCAATGGCCAGCACCCACCAACCCAATGGCTGTAGCATCCGTCAACAAGCTTATTAGTCCTTCCGGACAGCCCACCCTCTGGTGCAGACTGACGTGCAGAGAGCCATGATACTAACATGGGGATATCCATGTGTCTGCTCCACTATCAGCAACCGCATGCGTCCCCAAGAAGTGTATCATACCTGGTAAAGACCTCCTCTGGTGGTCCCATTATGGCAAGACACGCCAACGCGCAGAAGGCATATGCGCCGTGGGCCTCAGACCCAGGACTGCCTGAGATACCACCCTCGAACGTCTGGCCTAAGAGAATGAGCACATGACACGACCCATCGGAGCTCTCAACTCACATCTGGAGAGATACTGTGGGAGCCCACTCGTCAAAGTCTCCAATCCAGCATCCCGCGCTTGCCCATCCGCGAGGGTGAGCGGCAGATCCAGCAAGGAAATAATCGTCATAGCGCAATATGCGCCTCTAAGAAACGTCAGAAAGTCAAAATCTAGCCACCACCGTTGTTTCACGTACCGCACATCCTCCTCCCCGCCTTCGCCAACTCGAAACCCGCCATCAGGCTGCTTGACCCGACTGAGCCATTGCCACCTGCACAAGTCAGACGCACATCATGCAAGTATAGAATGAACAACTCACATCGCGTGTCGATCCACCAATCCCAGTGCCTCACCACCAACCATGGCAAGCGACAGCACGGCCGCATAGCTGCCCGCCAGATGCGAGGTCTGGCCATGGCCACCTCCAAATCCTCCGGAGGGGTTCTGCATAGGACGCAGTGTTGTGATGACACTGTTTTTATTAGCATATGTCGTTTGATCGATTGTCTATGAGGGTTTTCCCCCCACTCTTCGGGGAGAGCTCCAGGCACATGCGGACCAAGCTAGGTGCGAACGTACCGTTCTCGGAATTGACTCGTATCTTCCCCTAGCATGGCCAACCCCGCAAGACCCCAGTACACGATCCACGGGCGACTAGCGTCCATGGCCACGAAGCCGGAGGGATAATCCTCCAGGCTGTCGAAGAGGTACCCTACATGGAGATCGCGCTTCAGAGCGGGAACCCCGTGCTTGTTGAGGTCCGCTTGGCTCGAGTGGGTGCCTTTCAGGAAGGGGAGACACTTGTCCCGGGTAGCATTGTGTAGATCAGTGGTCTCTGTGATGAGCGGGTCGATAATTGCTGGGGGTTGGGTGAAAATGGCCGGGATCCCCGGGCGCGTCATCTTTTGCGGCTTTTGGCTTTGGCTTGGGTTAGGATTCGGAAATCGAACTCTTCTTCGGCCGGTGAGTGGCATTCACTTGGATTGGGGGATATTTGTAGCCCTGGAGATTTTGAGGTGAAAGAAATCTACTCCTATTGTTCTGTCGTGAATGTGGTGTGCAATTCTTTGTCCGCCCGCGGGGTCTCAACTTTCCCACTTCAATTCCAAGGTTGGACTCTCGACTCAACTCGACTATCATCTTCGATTTCGTAGACTCAATGTTTGACTGGCATATTTCCTGCTATCTTCGTTTCTCCCTATTCTTTTCAAATCTCGAATTTCTTTTTTCTTTTTTTTTGTCTCTTTTTTTCCTTAATTTTCTCCATCCCGATCCAGTTAGTATCTGGCTTCGGATGCATATATCATATTTAGGCGCAGAGGGTTATTGAATCCTCCGTGAAGATGTTCTGCATGTCAATCCGCCACGATGTGTGTGATGTGACGGGTCTCTTGCACGAGTGCACAATGCATTAAGACTCCTTACTTCGTGCATGACCAAGTGGAAAAGGAAAGTGATCTATCACCCCGTTCAAGGTTCCTCTTCAACCGGTTTCCCCAAGGTTTCAACGACCTGCCCATGACTTGCTTACGACCTACAGACGATCTCGAAACTCGAAAATAGCCCAGACTACTGCACGGTCAGCATCCTGATTTGGGCGGAATTGGAGCACTGAGCGCGTAAACGAATCATGGGCGATCGTGGCCCGCGAGGACGGGTCGTGATTGGATCTGATTAGGAAGGACTCTCAAGCACGACACGATCCGAATGTCAGATCTGATATTGCCACGCCCACACCCTGGCTCAACAATTGGGCTTTTTTCTCGTCGGCGGTCCACTGATCTTCCCGTGTTCCGTTGAATCCGATTAGACATAAGGATCTGTGTCAGAACCTAGGCCGAAAGGCAGAACCAGGAGCCGGATGGACGAAAAGGATATGATCTCTGTCTACTCCGTACTCCGTAGCAGACGTGTCAGGCAGAGGCAGAGGCAACAAGGCAGAGAGAAGGCGTCAACAACACAGTCTTGGCATCAAAGCAGGCTAAACCCAAACAGGAAAAGATACAATAAAATACCAGATCATGGGATCACGGACACACTCCCCCCGTACACATCATACGAGAACCTCTCTCTCCAGGACCCTCGTATCATCGTGAGATACTCCGAGTATACACCAGGCCTAAATTTCAACTACTGCACCACTAGTCTGGCCGTGGCAATTGCGGAACTGCCTCTCACAGAGCCAGCCTCTCTCCACTCTCCACAATTCCCCTAGCGCACTTTGCTCACCGCTGCTTTGTCCCCCCCACCGCCTCACTTTACTCTCCTCTTCATGGCTGTGTGACTCTTCTGAAGAAGGTCCTCTCATCCAGGCTGGTCCTTTCCTTCCCTTCTATCTCACCTTCCCGTGGTCGGTTTGACTCGAAAAAAACGTCATGTCCAATGTCGATTTACCTAGCGATGGCCTGATAGGCGTCGATTATGATTCCAGAGGGTATTTACACCAAACATGGCCTGTGGCGGTCGACCAAGCGCCCCCACGGTCAGAAGAAGGCCATGGTCTCTCGCCCTTACAAACCAGCGGTCACCCCCTGGAACAGTCGGTGACCCAAGATCCCAATCTCATGGTCGACTGGCACTTTCAACCAATTCAACACGCCCCTCACCACCACCTTCCTTATTCATCCGATGACCCGTCGCCGCAATTTACCACCAGTTATGGCATGCCCATGCAATCCTCCCCCGTGGATTTGATGGCCGGACAGGGCCATATGGGGGCTGGTTTGCTCGATGGTCACTATCTACCAATGTCCGCCCCGGTGGATATGGTACCCTTCACCTATCAGGACTTCCAGGCGGACTTGATGACCTTCCCCGGCGGGATGCCCCCGAACGGGCTGTCGGATGTTTATCACGCCCCGCACCCCGTGCTTGAAAGCAGCTCGCCCACCGATACATATTTGGAGGTCCGCTCCCTGTCCAGCAGTGACAACGGCTGGAGTACGATCGATCACCGTCGCTCCCTCGATTTTGGCTACCCAGAACAAGGCGTCTTTGTCAACCCCACCCAGACATTACACGACCGGAGTCTCTCAGAGTCATCATATTCAACATCATACGGCAGCTTCGTGGACATCACAAATCCGATCGGCTCTCCCGGCTCTGAGAACAATATGGACTTGCCGTGCTACACCCATGCCCATGGTCACGGACACAGCCACAGCCATAGTCACAGCCATAGCCACAGCGGCCATAGTAGTCACAGTCACAGTCACTCGCACAGCAGCTCAATTGGCATGCCTGCTACCTCCCCGACGAGCAGCTCCGTTGTTCGTCGTGGACAATCTGCGGGATCTCGCTCCCCGTCCGCGGTGAGCCCCACCGGCATGGTGCGGCCCATTCCGGTCCCGATCAAGAAATCCACATCGCCAGCCCGCTCGGCGGGATCTCAATCATCTGCCTCGCCCCCAAGCAGGAAACCTTCCCGCAAGAGCCCCATTGCCGCCAAGACCGCCGAGACCAAGGTTCGCAAGCAGTCCCAGACCGGCAAGCCCGAGACCGAGAAGCGAGTTGGCAAGAGAAAGGGTCCTCTCAAGCCCGATCAGCGAAAGCAAGCCAGCGAGATTCGCAAGCTCCGTGCTTGTTTGCGTTGCAAGTTCCTCAAGAAGACCTGCGATAAGGGCGAGCCGTGTGCGGGTTGCCAGCCGTCCCACGCACGGTTATGGCAGGTCCCATGTACTCGTATTGACATCAAGGAGATTGGTTATTTCATGAAGGACTGGAAGGCGGACTACGAACGTCATATCTCGATGGGTTTCTCGGTCGGAAACATCAAGGGATTCTCGGACCAAGAACGCACCCTGTTCATCACCCACGGCTATGGTCAAATCCTTCCCATCAACGCACGCGAAGTCTACGTCCGTGACGAGCAATGTTTCACCGTTGACTGGATCGAGTCCATGCAGCGCGATCCCACGCAATACGAAGTCGAAACTGCCAAGCTCTCCGCTGGTATGGAGGGTATTTCGCATGCCATGCTGTCGGACTACCTCGACCGCCACATCGACGGCAATGGTACATTCGAGAAGTTCGTTGACGACTACTTTGAAGGCACACCCTTCTTGACCCAGATGTTGAAGACCGCCTTCCGTTTCTACTTCCGGACCAAGCTACCCGTCATCCGCAAAGCTCTCAAGTTGATTGTCGCTTACAACCTGACTCTGCACGTTACTATGGTGGAAGGAATTGGCGAGGAAGAAGGCTTCCTCGGCAAGATCGAAGACCTAGGCTCCAAGTTTTCCGGCAAGACCATGGCCCCGGTTATGATCAACTTCCAGATCAAGTGCGCGATGGCCAGCATGTGGCGCGAGCTCCAAAAGGATGTTCTTGAAGAGCTCTCCGCCCTCTACTCCAGTGTCTACAGCGGCGACAAGCTCAAGAACTGGCCTACCATCTTCATCCTCGCCTCCATTCTGCTGGCTGTTTGGGAAGAAATGCAATTCGACAGCCATTACCGTACCCCCGATGCGGCAGCCGTCGACAAATTCTGCACGGATATGGAGACCACCCCCGTGGGTGTCATCGTCGGCCTCTTCCAGGCTATCTCCCAGAAGCTTCCTCCCTTCACGGAATGGGACTCCCAGAAGCACCATCAGCTCCTGTACTCCAATCCGGATGTATGCAACACAATGACCGAAGTGCGTCAGCACGTCGAGCAACATGGTAAGTCACATTATACACACTTGTTCCCAGTTCATCGCTGACCCCTTTCTAGAAAGCTATCTGCGCAGTCGCACCGGGCAAAAATTCGACCGCGGTGACTTCGACTGCCTCTCTAACAAATTTGTGTCGCGACTTGTCATTCGCGCCAACTAGACGAACCATTATGATTACGATCGTTTCACGTTTGCCGTAGCGTTCCACGTTTGCCGCAACGAACTCAATGATTGATGCGCGAGACGCATTCCCTCCTTACGATGATACCGGGCGAGTCCCGACGCATTGAATCCGACCTTCCTTTAGTGGTACTGTTTTTCGAGCCTGTTTCGTTATTTTTTTTTTCCTTGTCTTTTTTTTTGAAATATTGTCTTTTTGAATATCTGTGAAACTGGAATTTTTCTTTTTTTGTGTCTTTGGTGTATACCTCCGCATAGCTTTGTCTCCAGCGATGAACGAGGATCACGAATTTCATGACCGTGTACGGCCGAGGTGTTTTATTTTCATTTCTTGCCCGCGCTGAGACGGCCTTCGGGCAGATGTGTGGTGTTGGCCGGCGTCGGATGCAGAGCGTGTTTATATATTTTTCCCTCCGACTTTAACTTATCACAATTGACTAGTAGTCTTAACTATGGACCACCTGTTTTCAAATTCTTTCTGTTTCAAGCCTCTTTAAGCGTCCACCCGCGGACGGGCGTAGTACTTTGTCTCAATGTAACCACCGGGGCACCTACATGCGCCCGGGCGTGTCGTTTTGCCCGTCCCAACAGAAGTGCACAGCAGTTTCCCTCTTGGTCACTGTAGATACTCCTGTATTCCAACAATGGTCGATAAGCCCCTAACTGAACTAATGAAGTATACTGTACAAAACATGGCGGTGTGGCTGCATGCGGGAAATCAGGTGACGTTCTAAGTTTAGGAGTGGGTACAGGGTACCCGGAATGCAGAGCAAATACCCGCACATCACCCCGTACCCAGTACATGTAGGTACCTTCTGGCCACACTAGCGGCCTAATTAGGCCCACCCCCTCTTTTTGCGATAAGCAAAACGTCATCACCCCTTTGTCTTGTACAGTTGTAAGTTGTACACATCCGAGGTTCTCCAACGTCAAAGTGTCTGTATAAAATAGAAATAAACTAGGTTAGCTATTTAAACCCGACCTCGGGAAGCCTAATAGATTGATAATCCCTCGGTGTTCCAGGGTGGCAATGCTGTTTCCAGGCACCGGTTTGACTCATCCGGCGCCTTCTAGCATTTTCATAGTCTGAGGTTCCAAGGTTCTCGCGTCACTTCCTGACTAAGGAAGGCGCTGCGCCCCTCATCTACATAAAGGCGATCTTTCCCCTCTCGCCTTCTCTTCCTGTTGACTCTCCGACTCTTTGAGCTGACTCTATTCTCACCCTTCATTGACTCCGTTCATTATGCAGATCTTCGTTAAGACACGTACGTTTCCCTTCTACACGGCGATGAGATGCCCCTTCATCGCCTCCCCGGCTTACTTCCGCCACCCTGTCCCTGGGCCATTCCGCTGACTTCGATTTAGTTACCGGCAAGACCATCACCCTTGAGGTCGAGTCCAGCGATACCATTGATAATGTCAAGTCCAAGATTCAGGACAAGGAGGGTATCCCTCCTGACCAGCAGCGCTTGATCTTTGCCGGCAAGCAGCTTGAGGATGGGCGCACTCTTTCTGATTACAACATCCAGAAGGAGTCCACCCTTCACCTCGTTCTCCGCCTCCGTGGTGGTATGCAGATCTGTATGTCTCAATCCCGACTTTGCCTTTTGTTGCCACCTTACTAACAACATCACAGTTGTCAAGACCCTGACCGGCAAGACCATCACCCTCGAGGTCGAATCTTCCGACACCATCGATAACGTCAAGTCCAAGATTCAGGACAAGGAGGGTATTCCTCCCGACCAGCAGCGCCTGATCTTCGCCGGCAAGCAGCTCGAGGATGGCCGCACTCTCTCCGACTACAACATCCAAAAGGAATCCACCCTCCACCTCGTCCTCCGCCTTCGCGGTGGTATGCAAATCTTCGTCAAGACTCTCACCGGAAAGACAATCACACTGGAAGTTGAATCCTCAGACACCATCGACAACGTGAAGTCTAAGATTCAAGATAAGGAGGGTATCCCTCCTGACCAGCAACGTCTCATTTTCGCCGGAAAGCAACTCGAAGATGGCCGCACCCTATCCGACTACAACATTCAGAAGGAGTCTACCCTCCACCTTGTCCTCCGTCTTCGTGGTGGTATGCAAATCTTCGTCAAGACCCTTACCGGAAAGACCATCACGCTTGAGGTTGAGAGTTCAGACACCATCGACAATGTTAAGTCCAAGATCCAAGATAAGGAGGGTATCCCTCCTGACCAGCAGCGCTTGATCTTCGCTGGTAAGCAGCTGGAAGATGGGCGCACTCTTTCTGACTACAACATTCAGAAGGAGAGCACTCTTCACCTTGTGCTGCGTCTGCGTGGTGGTCAGTAATTTGTTTTCGGGTTTTAGTTTTACTGGACCTGCATGGCGTTTGGTCGGTTTTTTCGAGGCTGAGGCCTCTCCTTCTTGCACTTAAATCTTGAGGTTTTCCTCTATCTCTCTCCTTTTTCGCTTCTACTATAGACAATTCTATGGAATATTGACAGCTTTGCTGTGACGTCTTACAAATCTTGTTTCCTCGTAGATTATTGCTGGTCTCTCGAGTGTTTTGAAACGCTTTAACCACCGCCTCGGAAGTATATAGTGCCTTGGTGCACCGTTTCATTAAGGTCACACTCCTCCATAGTATGATGGATAACACATTTCAACCAAACAACTCGGCTTGACCGGGCGCAGGAAATTCCACCGAAGGCGAATCGACGCCACTCTGACACTGTCTCGGGTGGCCATTTGCCTCTTTCGTGTCAGGAACGAGCGGTGGCGCCGGGCAATGGGCAGGTGACTTCGGCCCGTTAGACTATGACGTAAGCAACCACTTTCTCGAGATCCTTATCGCTATCACTATCACAACTTCTTCTTCAGACGACCTCGGGAGCTTCAAGAGGATGCCCACCAGTCGGGATGCCCGCCTACTTCTACCATCTTCGCCTGCAGCTCTCACATAACTCTGCATCGTCTTTAGATGTACAATCTGTGTGGGAAACCCTCCAGCCATTCCAAAGCCAGCATTTGACCTCCACCGTAACACCAACCGAACGCACCCCACCAACCCCAGAAAACGCACCCGCACATCGCAAGCTCCCCACCCGGCAAACTCACACTCCACCTCGAATCCAAAATAGCGCTGATCTCAATATCTACACTGGCACGTCCATCTGCGCCCAAGACAAGCGCTTCGGCGCCATCACAGTCGAGTCTATCAATATGGTCCCTCCATCTCACGAAGTGACCAAACGCTCGAAATACCCCGCCGCGGAATCGGAAAATCTAGTTGCTGCAGGAATCGGTACAGATATTCTAGGTGGATTGCGCACGCGGGGCCGCTACATTCCCCTCGAAGGCGAAGTCGTCGACAGCGTATGGGGAATTGTCCACCTTTACCGCGACACGCATGAAACACCTTACTTGAACGATGAAGAATACCCCGTCCATTTGAAAGGCTCAGCGGCCGCAGCGCGGCATCCCGTCGAGCGAAATTTGGCAGGCAACAGCAAAGACCTTTCAGCATACCCATTTCCCGCACAGAACCCAGACGAGGATTGTAAGACGCTATGCATTCTCGCTGTGCCATCTTATCTATCCCCGCCGGATTTCCTGGGATTCATGGGTGAGAAGACGATGGACGATGTTAGTCATTTCCGCATGATCAGAACTACACGCCCCAATCGGTATATGGTCCTCATGAAGTTCCGGAGTGGAAAGCAAGCGAGAGACTGGCAAAAAGAGTGGAATGGGAAAGTCTTCAATAGCATGGAGCCGGAGACATGTCATGTCGTTTTTGTCAAGACGGTTGAAATCCAAGTGGTCTCTGATGATCCGGCTCTATCGCCCACCGAACATGCACATTTGCCCTCGCCTAGCCTCTCTACGCCATCAGGGCAGGCAACTCTCACGGGAAAACCTCTTGCGCCGCCTACGCCCGCGCTGGTCGAGCTGCCTACCTGCCCCGTGTGTCTTGAGCGAATGGATGAGACAACGGGGCTACTGACGATCATCTGTCAACATGTCTTCCATTGCACGTGTCTTCAAAAGTGGAAAGGGAGCGGCTGCCCTGTGTGCCGGTACACACAGGATGATTTCCGCAAAAGCAATGCGGGTCTGAGACCTGAAGAAGAGGAACATGAATGTCACGTCTGTCATACTGAGGATAACCTTTGGGCGTGTCTTATATGTGGTACTGTCGGTTGCGGCCGCTATGACGGTGCGCATGCCTTCGAACACTGGAAGGAAACAGCCCACGCTTTCTCTATGGATCTTTCATCCCAGCGAGTCTGGGATTATGTGGGTGATGCCTACGTCCACCGCATTATCCAAAGTAAAACAGATGGCAAGCTCGTCGAATTACCGGCAGCTGACCACAGTGCCCTTGACCCAGACTGGAGTGACGCAGTCCCTCGTGAAAAGTTGGAAAACATGAGCGTCGAGTACACGCACCTCTTGACCAGCCAGTTAGAAAGCCAACGTGCTTATTTCGAGGAGATTGTAGAGCGAGCGGTGGACAAAGCATCAAAGGCCAGCGCCGCTGCAGTAGCGGCTGAAATGAATGCGTCTAATGCGTCCAATCGTCTTCAGGATTTACAGTCCAAGTACGATACCATGGCTATTGAGACATTACCCTCGCTTGAGCAAGACCGTTCAAGGGCCGAAAAGCGTGCGGAGAAGTTCGAGGCTTTGTCTCGTACGTTCGAGAAAAAGTATCAGGAGGAACGCTCGATGAATCAAAACATGTTGGAAAGGTTGGATCTACTTGACAAGGAGGTCCAGGGACTGAAGACCTCGAATGCCGACCTTGCAGAACAAAATCGTGACCTTACCTTCTTCATTAGCGGCTCACAGCGTCTGCAGGGACAAGGAGAGGAGGTCGAGCAGGGGACACTCAGTGTCCCTGATCCTCCGAAAAAGAACAAGAAGAAGGGAAAGAAATAGCAAGTTGCTCTTGGCTGACAGTCCAACTTGAAAGTCTTGTACAATCAGCGCATTGCTAGAGTAATTAATGAAAAGTATGAACACAGAAATATACATATCCACTGATATCCCAAAGTTTGAAAACAACGCAATGCTTAAACATTCTATACTATACAAGACACATCTATCAACACATCCCGAGGCCCTAACTTCAAACATCCTTCCTCACAGCCCAGAAATAATTTCCATAATCCTCGCTCCCAGGCACCATCTTCCACCCAAATCCAGGAATGTAGATAGCCCCAACGCACTTCCACTGCATACCCTTCACCTGCTCCGCACCCCCACGAGCAGTAGGCGTATCCGCAGCCCTCATCAAGCCCTCCTGCAACCACCCCTTCACCTCAGGGGGATTCACAAACTTGCTCCACTCATGTGTACCACGCGGCACAACGCCAATCGGCCAAGGCGCCTCAGCAATAACCTGATTAAGAATGAAAGAAGGCAACGTCCTCGAGATCGTAGACCCAATCAACCAGCCACCAGGCTTCAAAGCCCGAAGACAATTACTCAAGAATCCCAGCGGCGAACTCGTCTTCGGATCAATATGCTCAAGGACCTCGAACAGCGTCACAACATCATACTGCGCCTGCGCCTGCGCCTGCTCAACCACCGGCCCCGTCTTCGACTCCAACACATCCTCCAGCGTCGTATTAAGGTATCTAAAGCGTCCATCCTGGAGATGCGCATGCACAGCCGGATCCATGCGCGCATGTTCGCGAGCCATGTTAATCAAATCCGTTGAGGGGTCGACGGCCGTCATTGAAGCAGCGCGCGTAGGCGTAGGCGCTTGAGACTGTGGAGTTGAGGGAATAGTGCGAGCGAGTGATTCGGCGAAGATGCCGCCGCCGCATCCGATGTCGAGGTAGTGGAGGTTTGCGGAGGTGGGGTCTGGATTGGCTTCGGTTGTGCCTTCGGATAGGCAGGAGGCGATGAATTCGTGGCGGAGGGGGTTCATTAGGTGGAGGATTCGGGAGGGGCCCATTGGATCCCACCAGGAGCTTGCTAGGCCTGAGAAGTGGGAGAGCTCGTCGGCTGAGACGGAGGTGTGCGTGCGGGTTTGGTGGGTTGGGTTCATTGGTGAGGTGAGTGAGGTGATTGTTGGTCTTAATTGTTTGGTTGAGAGGAGGGCTCTGGCGAGGGTTCGCCCTCTTAGGGATGCCATTTTGGATGCGATCTTTCGCGTGGGTGTTGGATTGGAGCTTTGGTTGTTGCTTGGTTGGGGTTGGTGGTGTCGGGGTGAGGTTTTTCCTGGGAGATAGTGGTCAATTGGAGTTTTATAGAAGCTTGGAGCTTTCTTCGAGGTTTGGGAAGATTCAACGTACTGGTAATGCGTTATCAGACAGAAACAAAAAGCGCATGGAGATCATCGAATTGGAGAATCGCCGATGCCGAGACAAACATGCCAAGACTGTTTGTTTTGAGGCTTCTATGTACAACTGCGACTCGCGACTAAAACTACATCTATAAACTCATGGTATCATTAAAAGAACATCCCGCAATATTACGAAGGTCATCCCAGAAGGCAGTTCTGGAAATCCACCTCCTGGGCCACAGGGTGAGGACCAGCCTCAGTCTGTTCGTTGCCATCATGGACCTCCGCACCCACAGAAAGATCCCAGAAATTATGACCTGACCATGAAGCCAACTGATCTGGGGCTGTGGCACCGAGGATAGGAAGGAAGTTCCCAGTGGTGATGCTGCAATCCAACCCAAGCACCGTCTTGCAACGCTCCAACAATGATGGGAACAAATACGAAGGCGATCCACGAATTTGAGAGAGGGTGTGAAGAATGCCCCACAACAGCTCATTCGGATCGACAGTCGACTCAGCCAGACGGTGCACTGCTTTGGGTCCGAGAGATCGAGTGACATCGGCGACGGAGACGCCCATATCGAAAAGCTTCTGTTCCTAACATCGAGTTCAGCGCTGCTCGGTGCAATTTAGCCTGGGGAGCTCACCATTCCAATGCCATGTGCGTCAACCGCACCCTGTGATGCGGTACCGATCACACTCATCACAGCTTTGCCTACCATCACTGGGAGATGGAATGGCAAGACGGCATCATCGCGCGATCCAGGTTGCGTTGCATGGTTCATTGATAACTTCCACATCATTGCCTGCAGCCACTGTTGGGTGATTAGGATATCCACCTGCTGGATTTCCAGCACTCCGTCTAGTGAAATCGCTTTGCACAGACTCGACTGGATGGCCGAAGTTGGCGGTCGCTCTAGAATGCTGTCACCGCCGCCTGCCGATACCCAGTCGTACAGGTTTGGCGTGAGCTTCTCGAATACGTTGATCAGGTTGATAAACCCATAAGCCAAGATAGGGTCTCCCGAGCAAAGGACCTGTGGCTTGTGTATTGAACTCCGCAGCATGACGGGCTTTGCTTGCTGAAGAGCGTATCCCCTGCGACAACTCCATCAGCACAGGATTCTCCACCTCAGCTCCCACCACTTACCTCTCCGTTATGAACAACAGCCAAAAGATTCTCCGCCTCTCCTCCGCCTCCTCGATCTCATACTCGGCATACGTTGATTCACGGTGCAGCCCTAGACTGAACGCAAAGGAAGTCGCCTGGCACAAGAAAAACCATGCATGGTCCTGCCGGTCCATGTTTCCATAGGAAGCAAACAAAAAGAAAGACGTCAAGAGACTCTCCGGCCCTAGGTCTTCCAAAATATCACATTCACCCCGTGCCCTCACAGCCTCTGCTAACAGCTCCTCTCCGGACATGAGCAAATGACCATCACCCATACGCAACGCAGGATCCGACACTGGACCGGCACCATCCAGCTTCAGCTGGATATGCGTCGCCGCGCAGAGCGACGCCAAAAACGCATATCGCTTCGCAGACAGCCGTTCCGGATGATCACAATCTGCGCGCAGCTGATCCCCACGCACGACCGGCATGATGGGGAATAGATACTTGAGATAAACATTCACATGCGCCAGCAGGATCTGTGGCGGGAGCCGCCGGGGGAGCTGCATATACCCATTGGCAGACTCGACAGTCGAGTCCGTCCCCGGGGAAGAGACGAGATCCGGCGGCGGAAGGTGAGAGAACGTATCCGAGAAATGAAACCGAGCGTCTTGGGCCCCGAACGGCGAGATCGGTGAATTGAACTCGGTCTCGGGGTCTTGCTCCTTCTCGGGATTAGCCCGGGATGGATGAATTGCAGCCAGGGGGTATAGGGTGCGGAATTTGGGGCCTTTGCGACGGAGGACATCGCTATATGAGCAGGAGAGGAGTAGTCTTTGGCATTTGTCGCATGGAAGTTCGCGGGAGCATTTGATCTTGCGTCGGCGACAGTTGTCGCATGCTTGTTTGGACGCGTTCATGTCTAGAGGTGGGAATCATTGAAAGAAGTGCTAATTTGTTTAAACCTGGGGAAGGGCAAGTCGACCCCGCAAGGCCCCTGCTGAAGTGTTGCGCATCGCGACTCTCGGCCCGACTTCAGGGCCCCGCAACTACTTGGCTATGTTCGGCTTCTGTTTTCTCTGTTTCTGGTTTCTTTTCCTGTTTCCTGTTTCTGGTGTTCTCTGGTTTCTTCCTTGTTTGTGCAGCACGTCTATGCAGCACGTCGATACAGCACTGGAAACAAGCAGCACTTGTGCCATCTCGGCTAAGCGAGGCCATCAGCTAACTCCCACTAGGGATGCGCTATTTTCCCTGCGCTATGGGAAGTGGACACAGCCTTTGACTTTCTGCAATCCAATCAACTGCACTTCGGCACTTTAAGTCAAACATCCAGAGACTTGGCCCTTTTCATCTCGGCAAGCCGGGCAAGCCGACATCTCAGAGCGAACTGTCGGGGTCTCTGAGGTCGTCTCGTCATGGACATAAATGACATAGAAGTAGATGACCTGCAGAGTCCCAATTCCCCGAGGTTCCCGCGAGGTTCTCCAGAGGTTCTCCAGACTCCAGGTTTGGGAATCCAGCATCCGGGTCGGCTGGCTAGTTATAAGCTTCTCCACTAAAGCCAAAGGACTCACCGTGGCTTGGCACGAGGATTCCCCGTGGGCATGCGATGAGATGGCCCAGCCTCGCTGGTGCAGACGGGCATTTATCGGACAACGGGCCAATCACCGGGCAGTGTGAGGTGATCGGCGCTCCTTACACGGTGGAGGTGGGATTATCCCAATTATCTCGCTTTACCTTCATGACCCAACTACGATAGACTGCTCAACTACAATTTTGCGGCAAGACACTGTGGGACTGGCTCTGCACATCCGCAGATTGAAGATTGTTGGTCATGTACCACGGTGTCATCCAAGCGGCGGCCTCGGAATTGACATCGTTTGTACGCAATAGCTGAGAATCACGAAATTAATCACAAAGTCCAGCTCCGTGCGTCCATCATGTAACGACTGTGCATCTCAACGTCACCTGGGGATGCTTCCAAGGTGATCCGAGTGACGCAAGGGACACAAGGGACACAAGGGGGCCCCGCAAATATCTCTTGAGCTTCAACTTCCAACCCCACACCGGGAATGCGATTCGGAGAATCGACTCGGGGAATCAGCGGATATTTTCTACACGTTGATCGGGCATCGGCATGTCATCGGTCGTGCCTGCTGCCTCCGGCTTTCCGTGACTATAAAGACCGGCCGGGACATGGTTGTACTGGCTCCAATCACTACTCTCATCATGCACGGCTTCAATCTGCTAGCAGGGGCTTCCCTACTACCAGCTGCCTATGGCGCTTTCTCAACATCCGCCAAGCCCTCACACGCAAGCTCAGCGGCCTCTTCTACTTCTCCGGCATACTCCCAGTTCACCATCCCGGTGGAGGCTGACGCTGGTGCTCAGCTGATTGCCAATATCGATGACCCAGAGGCCATTGATGCACAGAAGGCCTGTCCGGGATACAAAGCGTCGAATGTCAAGGAGTCGGCGCGTGGATTGACCGCTACTCTGACCCTGGCGGGCGAAGCTTGCAACGCCTACGGAACAGACGTGGACTCTTTGGACCTTTCAATTGACTACCTCGCTCATGACCGTCTGAACGTCCAAATTGTCCCGACTTATATTGATTCATCGAACGCGTCCTGGTTCTTGTTGGATGAGCACACCGTCCCCCGGGCCAGCGCTGCCGAGCACGCATCCAAGGAGCAGAGTGACCTGGAAATCACTTGGGCTAATGAGCCTTCTTTCCACTTCAAGGTGACCCGTAAGGCCACCGGCGATGCCATTTTTGACACCACTGGCTCGACTCTGGTTTATGAAAACCAGTTCATCGAATTTGTCACAGCCCTGCCTAAGGATTATAACCTCTACGGTATTGGAGAGCACATCCAGCAGTTGCGCCTCTTGGACAACTTGACTTTGACTCTCTATGCATCGGATATCGCAGACCCCATTGACACGTAAGTCCAAAGCCTGGTTGCCTGGAAGACCCCCCGCTTATAATTCTATCAGTAATGTCTACGGCTCTCATCCTTTCTACTTGGATACTCGTTACTACGAAGTCGATGAGCAGGGTAAGCACACGATCGTTGCCAGCGATAAGGCCGACCAGTCCAAGGATTACGTCTCCTACTCACACGGTGTCTTCTCCCGAAACGCCCATGGTCAGGAGGTTATTACCAAGCCCGAGGCCCTGAAGTGGCGCACACTGGGTGGTAGCATTGATCTCACCTTCTACTCCGGACCCAGCCAGGCGGAGGTTACCAAGAACTACCAGCTCAGCACGATCGGATTACCAGCCTTGCAGCAATACTTCACTCTTGGATTCCACCAGTGTCGCTGGGGTTATAACAACTGGACCGAGCTTGAAGATGTTGTCAACAACTTCGAAAGATTCGGAATTCCACTCGAGACAATTTGGTATGTTATTTCGCAGCCTTTGAATGCATGAATCTAACAGACTTAGGAATGATATCGACTACATGCACGGGTACCGCGACTTTGAGAATGACAAAAACCGTTATTCGTACAGCGAGGGCGAAGAGTTCTTGGAAAAGCTACATGCAAGCGGTCGCCATTATGTTCCTATTGTGGACTCTGCTCTTTACATTCCCAACCCCAACAACGCCTCCGATGCGTGAGTTGCTTAGTCCCTGGTTGAGAAATCCCATGTTCACTATGTGCTAATGTCTTATCAGCTATGATACCTACACCCGGGGCCACAAAGATGATGTCTTCATCAAGAATCCCGATGGAAGCGAATACATTGGAGCTGTCTGGCCTGGTTATACCGTTTTCCCCGACTGGCACAACCCGAAGACCAACGATTTCTGGGCCGACGAGATTGTGGCCTACCACAAAAAAGTGGCCATTGACGGTATCTGGATTGATATGAGCGAGGTTTCCTCGTTCTGTGTCGGAAGCTGTGGTTCTGGCAACCTAAGCATGAACCCATCCCACGGCCCCTTCGCTTTGCCCGGGGAGCCTACCAATGTGATCTACGATTACCCTGAAGGATTTGAATTGACCAACAAGACTGAAGCCGAGTCTGCGGCGTCAGCTTCATCTAGCCAAGCTGCTGCCGCTGCGACTGCCTCGTCCTCGGTCTCTTACCTGCGAACCACACCCACCCCTGGAGTTCGCAACGTCAACTACCCCCCATACGTCCTCAACCACGATCAAGATGGTCACGACCTCAACTCGCATGCTGTGGCCACGAATGCCACCCATCATGACGGTGTGCAGGAATACGACGTTCACAACCTGTTCGGTCACCAAATCCTGAATGCAACCTACCATGGTCTCTTGAAGGTCGATGAAAGCAAGCGGCCCTTCATCATCGGCCGGTCAACCTTTGCTGGCTCTGGCAAATGGGCTGGTCACTGGGGCGGCGACAACGCATCCAAGTGGGCTTACATGTTCTTCTCGATCCCGCAAGCCCTGTCGTTCTCTCTCTTCGGTATCCCGATGTTCGGTGTCGACACTTGCGGCTTCAATGGTAACTCCGACGAAGAGCTTTGCAACCGCTGGATGCAACTTTCAGCCTTCTTCCCCTTCTACCGAAACCACAACACTCTTTCCTCTATCCCACAGGAACCCTACGTTTGGAGCTCGGTGATTGACGCCACCAAAGCAGCCATGAAGATTCGTTACGCCATTCTTCCTTACTTCTACACCCTCTTCCATGAAGCCCACACCACCGGTTCAACCGTCATGCGCGCCCTGTCCTGGGAATTCCCCACCGATCCCTCTCTTGCCGCGGTGGACACCCAATTCCTGCTCGGTCCTTCGATCATGGTCGTGCCCGTCCTGGCACCCCAAGCTACTTCTGTCAAGGGTGTCTTCCCGGGCCTCAAGAATGGCGAGGTCTGGTACGACTGGTACACCCAGACACCTGTGGATGCCGAACCCGGCGTGAACACCACTATCCCCGCTCCTCTGGGCCATATCCCTGTCTTCGTGCGCGGTGGCAGCGTCCTCCCTATGCAGGAGCCCAAGCTCACCACCAAGGAGTCTCGCGAATCCCCCTGGTCCCTGCTCGCCGCGCTAAGTGGCAACGGCACCGCTTCTGGCTCTGTTCATCTCGATGATGGAGAGAGCAATGTTCCTGACGACAGTCTTGATGTTACCTTCCATGTCGAGGCATCTAGCCTCAGCGCCAAGGCGACCGGGTCTTGGAAGGAGTCGAACCCTCTCGCTAACGTCACTGTTCTGGGTGTTGCCAAGCAGCCCGGTGCTGTCGAGTTCAATGGCAAGGTCGTCCCCACTTCGTCTGTGCAGTACAATGCTACATCGCATGCTTTGACTGTGGGTGGCTTGGACGAGCTAACCGAGGAGGGTGCGTTCAGCGAGGACTGGACCCTGAAGTGGTAGATCCTTGCACGGAATGCAATAAGTCCTGTCTCAGTTACCAGGCTGTCAATGTGCTTTCTCCAATTTGTATATGTTATGAATCGAGTGTACTCATCTCACGTTTGAATTCATTTTATAGATCCCGAGGTCGTAACGAAGCCTGAATTTCTCAACAAGGGGAGCATAAGAATACTGTAGAATGCAATCATTCAATGGCATGTTCACAGTCAGGCAATTCGACGCAGGTCCCCGAGTCGCATTCCCAGTTCCCACTAGATCCCGATCCCCGATCCAGTTGCCTTCGGGCCGAATCATAAGCACGTCCCACTTGTCTTGGAATTGCTTGCGCCTGAAGATTTCCCCTCCAACGTCCAATGAGACTTACTCCCGATACCGAGCACCACCTTCATCACCAAGTCCAGTAAAAAGGGCCGATCGGACCATCCATCAGCCAATAACCTCTCAATGGCGCCGCAGTAACCACCCAGCGACCTGAGTTATTTGGGGTCCAAGACCCGTCCGCTGATTCGGCGCCCGTCTCAGGGGCTCCGCTAGCAGGGATGGTTAATTTCCCGCATGCAATCGCCTGAAGGATTCATGCATCTTCGAGACTGTAGTCCTGATGGATTTCTACAAGCAATTCTCATTGGGAAATTTCTTCAACCGGGCTATCCGGGTCCAGGGTCATTGTTGCATTGTTTCAATATCGAGATTGGGGGCGGGCATTCAAAGCGGAGCTCCAAACAGGATTGTCCGTGGGCTTGCGTTTCATGGCATTGGGGGCTGTTGAGGACTTTGGTGTTTGTGCTCGTGGATGGCAGGTTTCTGGTGGCGATTGGCTTCGTTGTGACCTATTCGTCTTCATAGGATTGTTTTCCTATATAGAGTCACCCCTTGCTGCGGGTATATTGTCTTTCTTACCATCCTCTTCTTTGTACTGTATCTTGGTGATTCGGTCATTGTACAAGTATACTCAGTATGGTTCTTATGCGCTTTGCCTGGCTTGCGGGCCTTGTTGCGTCGGCCTTGGCCGCTACTCCTGAACAATGGCGCTCGCAGTCGATCTACTTCCTGCTCACTGATCGCTTTGCTCACACTGATGGCTCGGTTTCTGCCAAGTGTGATGCCAGTATGGGCGTATGAGTCCCCATGCGTTGAGCTCTCTGTTTGAAACTGACATTTCTTCTGTAGAGATACTGTGGTGGTACCTGGCGAGGAATTATCAACAAGGTTGGCAACTCTGGTTTCGATCTTTCGATATCTTCCACTGACGGACTGTTGTAGTTGGACTATATTCAAGGAATGGGCTTCACTGCCGTTTGGATTACCCCCGTTACTGCTCAGTTGGAAGAGGTGACCCCATACGGTGACCCCTACCACGGATACTGGCAGCAGGATATGTGGGTTGCAATGTGAATCCAAAGTTCTGGCTACAGATCGACTAATCGTCTTGCAGTTATGGACTCAACTCGCACTACGGAACAGCCAAGGATCTCAAGGACCTCGCTGCGGCCTTGCATAAACGTGGCATGTACCTGATGGTCGATGTGGTGGCCAACCACATGGTCAGTTGAATGATTCACTGTTCTCCGAGGTTCGAGTCAGCACTTAACTAACTATAACAGGGCTACGATGGTTCTCACAATGACATCGACTACTCCAAGTTCAACCCCTTCAACAACAAGAAGTACTTCCACGACTACTGCTCGGTCGACTACAGCAGCCAAGGCAATGTGCAGAATTGCTGGCTCGGTGACAACACAGTCGCTCTGCCAGATCTGAAGACGGAGCGTAATGATGTGCACACGATGTGGCAGAACTGGATCAAGTATCTGGTTAAAGAATACTCAAGTAAGTCTCTTCTCAGAAGTCATCAATTCCTGTGGTGAAATTAGTGGCTATGATTCTGACTCTCAAAAGTTGATGGTATCCGTATCGACACCGTGAGACACGTCCAGAAAGAATTCTGGACCGGCTTCAACAAGGCTGCAGGCGTTTACTGTATCGGTGAAGTCTTCAATGGTGATGCCGGTTACACCTGCCCGTACCAGGAGGTCCTGGATGGTGTGCTGAACTACCCACAGTAAGACGCACCCAGATTGACCACCAAGAGAGCAAAAATAATCTGACCGTCATTGCAGGTACTTCCCTCTTCGCAGGGCATTCAGTTCCACCAAGGGCAGCATGAAGGAATTGTATAACATGATCAACACAGTGAAGTCCCAATGCGCAGACTCCACACTGCTGGGATCATTTGTGGAAAACCACGACAACCCACGCTTTGCATCGTAAGTGAAGGTTCAACGTAAGATTTGGGCAGATGCTTAAATTTACTGTTTCACCCTGCAGCTACACCGACGACATCGCCCTCGCGAAGAACGCTGCCGTTTTCACCATCATGGCAGACGGTATTCCTATTATCTATGCCGGACAAGAGCATCAATACAAGGGCAACAAAGACCCCGTCAACCGCGAGGCCACCTGGCTCTCGAAATACAACACCAACAGCCCACTGTACAAGCTCATCGGTAAGGCAAATGCTATTCGTAACCAGGCCATCTACGCAAGTGACAGGTACACTACTTACAAGGTATGTTTGAAATGACTCGATGGCTGGGTGCTAGTCCAAAGCGCTACTATGTCGATGGCAGGACGTACTAACTCGACCAGAACTACCCTATCTACCAAGATGATAGCACGATTGCTATGCGCAAGGGCTACGATGGCTCGCAGACGGTCACGGTCCTTTCGAATCTTGGCGCTGGTGGCAAGTCGTACTCGCTTTCTTTGTCTAACACGGGATACAAGGCCGGCACTAAGCTGACCGAGGTCATTACCTGCTCCACTGTCACTGTTGACAGCAACGGAAAGGTTCCTGTTTCCATGGCGGGTGGAGAGCCTCGAATCTTCTATCCTACCTCGAAGATCGGAACCAGTCTCTGTTCTTAGATTGGAGACAAACCAAACACTTGGGCACCTAGATCCTCGACTTTGTCCAGATACTCTCTTGCTAGAGTATCCAAGTTGGATACCTAGGTAATAAGATAGCCCAATTGAACACTCAAACCACTCTTCATTTTCCTTTTCGATACTTTTATTTTGCACATATGAGCACCGACAAAAACATCACAAGATAGCCCAAACGAACCCATAGCTCCATATTAGAATCACCAGTACACCGATCAAAACCAAACCACCAACTCCATGAATATGTATATCCAAAACGCAAGACCCCAACCACAAACCAAACCCCCACGCCCTCATAACATCATCACCAATCATGCAATGCCCTTGGCACCAACCCAACAGGCATAGCCCCACCAATAACCGGCGCCGAATGCTGAAACAAGTCCGGAGCCTCGAAAGAAGGTTGCGAAATCGGCTGCGAAGCAAACCCAGGCATCAACTGCTGAAGACAATCATACCCCTCCACCAGCGAATCCAGTGCCTGGGAAGCTGGCATAAGCTGTGAAAGATCCATTCCAATTCGTGAATGATGAGTCCCGAAAATAGGCACCCCCTTCACCTCCGTTGGAGACGAATTCTCTGAAACAACAGTCGAAGCTTCGGAGTATCGGCGTTGGACTTCGCCGACAATGCAGGCAATCTTGTAAGAGAGGTTGTCGCCGCTCGGGGCAAGATGGAGCATGAATCCGCGGACTTGGTTGATCAGGGGGTCGGAGGGATTGTAGTCGCATAGGGTGAGTGCTGCATAGCCGACGATGAAGTATATGTGGTCTATCAGAGCTGGGGCGGAGGAGAAGCTGGTCTGGAGGAATTTGGATATTACGAGGCGGGCATTGCCGCATATTTCTGGGACGAGGCGGTCGCTGTCGAGTTGGATTCGGGTTGCTGTTCTGTGTAGGAGGAGTTGGCAGAACCATAGGTTGAGTTCGAGGGAGGAGTCTTCGGTGCTGGCTTGGGGATTGTTAGTGATGTTTTGGATTGTTTGGGTCGTTGCTCACCAAGTAGATGTGCCCATTCCATTTTCCAGCGCTCGATTTCTTCGTAGTCAAGCTCGGCGAATTGGAGCCGATGTGGACTGTGTTGAAGCTTGAGGGCTATGCGGTATAGTTGGATCTCGGCGACGATTCTCCCATCGTCTGGTGTGGCCCCTGCATTTTCTAGGATTCGGGGACATTGGTCAATATATTGGGGTTGTATGTTGACGGAGCGACCATTTGCGAGGGCAGAGCTGGTAGTCGTTAGCTGTGTACTCCGTACCTGGTGGAGCTATGCGTGTTTCCTTACTGTAGTTGAGTGACACAAAGAGTGTTCCACAGGCGCATCTGAGAAAGTATCCCATCGGGGCTGGGATCTCCTGTCGGAGAGTTGAGGAAGTTGAAGGAGATGAGGGCATGGTTGATTGAGATCCCGCTCAGTAACCAGTCGTCCATGAGCCCTTCTTTTTGGACTGATGTTGAATAAAGACAAAGTAACGTCAACGCTTGCAGCATATCGTGTGTCAAGGGTGGGGGCTTCCATAGCATCTTCGCCACGGCATGTTGTACATGAACTGAGATATCGCGAACAGTTTGCTGCGGGAGACCAGGAAGGTAACGTGAAGCCAAAAGACACGCCATGTTGAATAGGAGGGTATTTCGTTGGATGCTGGAAGGGTGATCGACTGAAACCCAGTGGCCGAAGTACTCAACGAAACTGTCAGTATTGTTAGCAGTGACCTTCTTCATTAAATGCGATGAAACCCACAACTCGATCATTTTCACTGAGAGTTTGGAATCAATGATCCCCTGGGTAACGACATCGAGGGTATCGGCATCAGCGGAGAAATGGTCTCTCTCTCCAAAGCACTCCGCTTGCAAATCGCGGATCAGCTGCGCCGGCTTGATGGAATACAACGAAGATGATAGACTATCATTTGAGACTGCGCCGTCGATGCTGTTGCTTCTCGCCTGCGAAGTGAAGCTGCTCGACATCGTGGGGGAGTGATTCACCATCTGCCGCATGAGATGAATCATCTCCCCCATGCCCCGTTCTAGGGAGACCAGTCGCTCTTCTATTGAAGGAATAGCACTGGCATCTGACCAGGTCGACACATTATCCTGGAACCGATCATTTGTCTCCGGCAGCTCGCATTCAAGCCTGTGTACGAATACGCGGTCAGCTTCGGGTATACACAGCCGGGATTTCCGAGGGTATGGGGCATGTGTGAAACACAAGGATTACAAGCGAGACACACCTCAGCGATAGACAGCGACGGCAAGCATGGCCACGCGGGTCGACGTCGCAGCGCGTCTTGAGCTTGCGACATGTATTACAGGCAGTCATTGACCGTCGGATGCGCCCTTTGGGCCTCATGTCTTGGCCAGCGACCGAGTCAATTCTGCCGGCATCGTCGTTGATGGAGCTCTTAATTCCCCAGGCCATATTATTTGGTGGGTCGGTTCTCGTCATTGCATTGGAAGTGGGTTTGGCGGCTGTACTGGTTTAGGGACGTTCTATGTTGGATCGACGGGATATGAGAAGTTGAAAAGAGGAAAAAGGTCAATGATCAGCAATTGGACCCTTCTAAAAGCCAAGTCTTGAAGGCCTGAAGATCATTCTATCGCTATCAGGGAGATCCGCGCCTTATAATAGCGGATCAAAGGAGTAAACGGTGGTAGCCAATTGCGACAAGTGGCCGATGATTGACGATATCGAGAGCACTGCGCAGGTACGTTTTCAAGCCCGTTCAAGCCCGTTCATGGTGGACCTGGGGTAATTGAGAGTGCACCAATCCAAGTCTCTCCCGGGGGGCTTCTAGAACGGTAGTATTGGCCCGGACTGGGAGAGGGGGTGATAGTCGTGTTATTGGCTCTCAGGCCCTGGTCCTAATCCCCGACGTGAACCGTAGGAGGGGGACAAGTGGCACAATCTATGCTGATTTAGTGTCACTTAGGGTTCTTGACTTGGAAAGTTTGAATGTTGCGACTTGTGCCTATCTTGCAACATTGAAACTGGGGTCTCTCGGACTTGAGTATTTCTGTCTGGTCGGAGATATCCGTTCAATACGCGAAAGGAGAGCAATTTCAAATTTGCAATCACTTTACCCAATTGCCCATGGAGTGGGGAGGCAGTAGGATCTAAGTGGGGGAGAGGCAACAGGCAGAACACAAGCCCCCAGCCTAATTGGCTCACATGTGCTATTGTCTCAAAGCAAGTGGCTATCAGGATGCGAGCGCCGGCCAATGTGACATCGTAACTTTTAGACCCGGCTAACGACGGGTCTCTTGCCGGTCCATGCATTAGTGCCCTTTTTAGTGCCCTTTGTTGGCTGAGAGACTTTGATATCGCCCTTCTCAACCGTACCTGAAGGCTAAGCGAAAGTATCTTCTAAGCTCAGGGTGTTGCCGGATATTTATTGTACTAACTGCGATCGGGGGCTGAAAATCTCTCACGATCGGGCGAACCAACATAAGCCAACATCCATTCAGCCAGTGATGCAAAAGCAATTTGGCGATTGCTAATCGCGCCAGTGGCAATGCGGATGACTATATAGTAGTCACCCGAACCCTTCTTGATCCCTGCATATGAGGGACTCCACTCCAAGAGAAAGGCAATATAACTCTCATGCACGCGGCTAACTGCCTGCCCTTCTGGGGGTAGTGCTCTTTTGTCTTCACGGAACCCTCGGCTCAAAGAGCGGTCTGTTCTCTCGGGAATACTTGGTCGTCGCGATCAACTCCTAAAATTTGGCATTTCTTAGCTTATGGAATTCCTGGGGTGATCGACCACTGGCCCACTACTGTTGGCAACGAACGGGCTAATATGCACCCACCGCTCCATACTTGCTATCGCCCCGTCTCGGGGTCCTGGGCTTGGTTTATCTACGCTTAGGCTCTTGATTGCGTAAAATAATTGACCTGCCAAGTCTGGTGTGGTGGCCGAGGTTGATCAAGCTATGCCCAGTCGTTCGACGATGCGTTGCAAGGACTTACTGGTCTCCAAGTGGGACAACGTCCCAGGACCTAGCTCTGCTTCCTTACTTGCATCGGTGGAGATCTGCGGCGACTTATATCTATATACTCTGTCAAATTTCGTCGCCCATCGAGCAAATTGGACAAGGACTCAAGGCCCTACATGCTTCAGTGTGGCGGATGGCAAGAGAAGCCGGAGACACAACCTTGGAATGCTTCTAGAACCCGTTGATAATTTCCGAGGTCAATATGCTTTGCATAATCTAGTGAAAGTAAAATTGTCGCTTTTCGGCGGAGCAAGGTGCATCAGCAAGCTTTCATCGCAGCGCGTGTGGAAGCCACAGCCCCTCCATCTGGAGGCTCCTGATAATATGTTCGATAAACTGGCAAGGATCAGTAATTCATTTTCGTAATCAACCAACGAGATTTCATCTTTCTTTCTATTTCCTTCCCTTCTGGGGATTGGGAGTCGACCGATTGGGAACGGATATCTTGGAATCCTCTTTTTTCTTTCCTTGCATCTTCCTTGCAGGTCTTACTACATGCGCTCCAATGAGCAAGCACCATATAGTCACGGGTCGCTCAAATCCACTCAACATCCGGGGACAGGTGCAGTAATCTAGGAAGTTGATCAACCTCCCACTCAACGTGAGCTAGCAGTGCAGATAACACCCCCGGTTTAGTGACCAGGATAGAAGCATTGCGGGGTGACCATGCCATGTATGTTTCAAAGATAAGGGTCTTCAAAACAGGAGTTGACTTATCAAATGATCATATTAGTGGCTTTCCCGAGATGCCTCGGCGCCGTGCCTTTGCGGGAAACAGAAGAACGCTTGTTCCACCCTCAGACCCTGTGTCGGAAATAGCCATTGAGCCTAGCCTGTGAGAGATTAATCTGAAGTCAGTTGAGCGACGCTAATACCCTCGTCCACTACATTCGTCTTGGGTGGGGACTACTTCAATTTAAGCTCGGGCAAGAGCACTGGTTTAGGCGCAATGTCTCCCACGACGTGGCCACGAAATAAGCCTACCTTTCTGATATAAACCCCACAGGTTGAGATACTCTAAGGCTCTATGTAGGCTGAAAAGAAGTCACGAAAGCCGTAAAATCGCTGCGAATCATAGACCTAATCAAACTGGTTTATCGGGGATCAACATGGGCTTCGGGGCTCCTGAGGAACGGCTCAAACATTATTCCTAGCACGGGGGCTATGCGCAGCGGCGGTGGATCTGCATTTCTAGATTAGATTGCTAGTAGTAGTACTCAGCGCGGAGACTGTGCAGCCCTACGTTCCTGGCTAGCTACATGTATAGTCTGGCGTTCGCCTTTGGGTTTTTTAGTACACTCGTGCTTACCTCGGCTTAAATTCTCCTTTTTCTTTCTTCATTGATTGAAAGTGCCAAGCTTGTATGTGTTGGCAACTTCTCCAACCTCTCCGACAAATCCAAGTCGCGCTCGTTGTGTGCCTTGTTTTTGCACAGCGGGCTCTCGGTCTTCGATGTATCTCATGTTGAACAGGCTCAGCCACCCGATTTGTCCGGGTCCGCCCCTGGGAAATGCACCCGTTGACCTGCGCATATTTCTCGAGTTCTCATTTCCGTCAAGCAGCCCCTGGTGCTTCGAGGTTGGAGAAAAAATAATTTTGATGTGATAAGAACGACAAAAAAACATCAAAAAGATTGACCGACGCAGGGATCGAACCTGCAATCTCTTGATTCGTAGTCAAGCGCCTTGCCATTGGGCCAGCCGGCCTGATATGTTAGAAGCCGCGTTTTTGTGTTACCTGAGCCACTGCTCTCCAGCTAAAATGCCCTTGGGCCTGTGGATCTTCCCACACCTGCTCGATGTCCCTTGTATGCTGCCCAGGTGGTGTTTCTGAATTACCTGGATATCTATCTGGGTGGATCTTCCGAATTAAATACAATGAGCCTTGGAATTAGCCCTCGAAATCTTTCGTTCCAGGTTGGTTTCAAAGTTCCATGGCTCCAAGGTTAAGATATATAACTTGGAAGCACCGTCGACCCATAAATATCGAAATTTCCCTGCGGGCTATTTCAAGACTACTACCTACATACTAGGTAGGTATAAGCCCATGGTTAGTGATCATGTACCTATTGTAGCGCGCGCTTCCAAAGTTCTAAGTTCCGAGGTCCTGTGCCATGAGCCTCGAAGAATTCCAAGGTTGGCAGCGATAATCTGGTCGACTGGATCCAGCCCTCGTTGACATGTTCGGATAGCGAGATCCGATTGTGCCTACCTAGTCAGAGGATGGCATAGTGACTCCATTGGTCCGACCATCGTGGTTGACACTTCCAAGTTCCAAGTTTCAATGCAATCACCATCGGCAGTCGCATCGCCAAGCCGCTTCAAGACAACTGCAGCCACACCTTCCAAGGTCCACCCCGCCATAGCCGTCAGCTCGAGTATCCCAGATTCCTAGGTGTGGCAGTGGCCCGTAGGACCCAGCATATTGAGGTTTGACTCGCTCAGATGCACGTTCGGACTTGGGATCAGATTGTCTCCGGCAGCGAGGGCGATATTACAGTCTCCCTGGCTCAGCGCCTAGGCGGCCAGATGAGCGGCCACTAACCTTGAAACTGGAACACCCCGTGCTTGGAGCATTTTCTCTTTCTTTCTTTTTCTTTTTCTCTAACGATAGCCCTCGATGTCGCCTGCATACCTAGGTAATGGACTGAGATAACTTGCAGGACCACGAGCATTTGGCTGCTGTGGCTGGCCGACAGGCTGCGAACCCCCTTACTGTACACACAGCACTGATCTACTAATACTTGACCGCCATATGAAGTACTATTGTACCCATTTCACGGCCATACCCGTGGAGACGTCTCGAGACCAAGCCCATGGTACGTCTAGATCATGTAATAGGTAGATCATGCAGCCAAATCTGGAAGGTTGTACTGCAATTGAAAAATTGATTCAACGAGAGTTGGAAACTGGTGATCCTTCCAGGGACGCCTGCATCTCAGCGAGACGCTCATGATATCACTTTTCCGCCACTTGCTGATACACTCCCAAACGCGTCATAAAGATCACCTCTCCGGAACATCCACGCCGAATAAGACGGCGCAGAAAGATTCGCGCATTTCGTCCCACCTCGTCATTCGTGCCTAAAGCAGAAATATGGAAGGGAATATTGAGAGTCTTTTCCTTTTGCAAATCGATATCAATATTGTGGAGCAGGAGGAGTGGAAATATAGGCCCGCGTCCATTGCCCATTTCATCATGGATTCACGAAGCCCTGCGGTCGAGTGAATCCTCCTTGGAAGAAGCGGTGCAGACCCCATCCGTCATTGACTCAAACTCCATTCCGACATTGACGATGATATTCCCTGGCGGAGGAGGAACTGGAAGTCAATCACAAGCCGCGTTCATAGCTTCAAAACCTCTGTGGGAGGAGCCTGGAAGGAGGAATGTGTTCATTCAAGTGGCGGCTTAAGCCCGATCCGAGGGTCTGGACTTGCTAGCTGCAGACATTC